AGGCTAAGTTTATATTGAAAATCAAAAGATATTCAGCTAACAGAAGACTTGTAATACATAAAAGACCAAAAGTTTAGGCCTAGCTTACTTTAGATTTATCTGGCTCTGACCCTGGTCCTGATCCAGATCAGATCCTGCACTTGTTGTTAGCTTCAAACACTGGCTTGGCTATTCATTGTTATGTTAGCTTCAAACAAACCTAAACTTGGCTTCTTTCCTGGTCACAAATTACCACAAACGATCACAAATCATAAAACGAAACACTCTGACCTTTGTTGACTCATTCAGTATTATGGCTATTCATAAAAAAAATTGGTAATACTAGACAGGGAATTTTCTGATGCTGATCGACAACATTTGAAACAAGCTAGCAATAAATGAGGCCAAGTGTCGACTATGTTATTTTGAAAATTTTGGCTCTAACAAGATGAATCCAATTGAATCTTTAGCTTTTTTTTTCATACCTCGTATCGCAATGTCCCTTTACCATCCAAATTGTGCTGAACTACCCCTATCGGATCGACTCCATCTAATCCTCGAGGAGTTTTTCTGGAATTATTCTTATTTTAATTTTGAACTGAATGCAAAACTTGAATGTTTTTATCGATGTCATGTAGAGACCGCAGATTTGCGCCGAGAATGGAATCGTCCTTGTTGAGCCGAATCTCGGAAATCTCATACTAAAATAGTCAATGCTTAGAAATTTCATTATATAGGAAGATTTAAAAGTTCAAGAAACTTAAGAATAATCAAACTAAAAGTTTCTCTAGCATTACGGTACATTTGCGAAACTATGCGTTGGCTCTTTGAACTTTGAATTCCTCACATTTTCGACGATCCATCCGGGAGCTCGATTTGAGCAAAGATTTTTCCCACATACCGAGACTTTATCTAGAAAACGATTTCAACAATACTATTATCAAGAAATCGTTTCATTACCTGCAATTTGAGCTCACAAGCAGACGAAAGAGTGAGCAAAGAAAAGAATAAAAATGAGATTTGCCAAGCTTTTCTCATTTGTCATCAAATAAGGATTTGTTGTCTGAAATTGTATTGAAAATTGAGATTCGTTTTTCAACTAGCAAATTTATTTCTTCAAACATTTAAAAACAAAATTTCATCAAAGAATTTGGAAATACGAATCGAAAATACGGTTTTTCTAGAGGTGAAAACGGACGGTATTCGACCTAAAAATGGAAAAGAGAAAGGAATTTGTCGGTTAGATGAGAAAAAGATTATAGAATGGGGAAATGAATGAAAAGAATGAATGAAAAGAACGAAGGAAAAGAAAGGATCTGTCTTTCAATCTTTGATCTTCAAGCATTCCTAACTATGTATTTGAAGATGAAAAAAAAGAATCAAAGAATAGGAATCAAAGAATGAAAGATATCAAATACGAATCATTTCTTGATATGCTTTAACCGCTCGATCCAGCTTCGTTTCTCAGGCTTTGGAAGACGGGAGATTGTCTGCAAAATCGGTTTTGTATAAATGTCTGCAAAATAGGTTTTGTATAAAACTCGTTGACATTACAGTATTATTGCTAATAGATTCGAACTTTAGGATACTAAACAGAATACAGTATTTGTTAAACGCTAAAATACTTCTCCACTTTTTATATCACCTGCGATGGAGATGGTAAGCTGGTGGGGTTCTGATTTGGATGAGTGTGTGATGTCGGTGAAAATGGAGGAATTGGGGGCGATGGATGACGATTTGAACTGAAATCTACTATATATAAAAGTGTCGTCTGTACGAACTTTTTCTCAGCCGTCTTTGAACCAAAAAAAATGAAATTTTTAAAAGTCTTAAAATATATGCCATTTAAAGTAAAAATTAGAACAGCCAAAAGAACAGCACTACGGGTGGGTGGGGGTTGAACCCGGGGTGGACACCGGGTAGGTGGGTCCTAAACAAGCGCGCTCCCGACTGCGCTACGACGTCAGCATCTGGGTTTGTCAGCCGGTATTCCTACCATAAATCCATAGTGTGAATCTCACCTTGAATGAATCGTTGCCTCTGGTGGTCGGATCTTTGTTCGATTCACGGCGCGATACCCCGAATCTCTGTGATGAGAGATCTCTGCAAATCCGCCGTGTTGTCCACCTTGTCCTCCATTCACATTTCCAATGTCTGCGGGTTTCTAAACTGATGACAATTCCTTTACTTCATCTTTACATAGAAAATACTAAAGAAAATTTAAATGTAAATGATATTTATCTTCGTGGCACTGAATGTTTACTAAAATGGGTGATTCTGAAAAGTTAAATTAAGCATTAGCATTAGGCATTAGATTAATTGCAATTATTGCAATTGATTGCAACAGATTGCAATTGTTGCAACAGATTGCAATTGTTGCAATTGATTGCAACAGATTGCGATTATTGCAATCTAATGCAATTAAGCATTAGATTAAATTTGCCTTAATCACAAATTTTCCCTATTTTAAGTACATGATTTTAGGTTTTGAATGGGACCAATTGCCTATCCATTAACCCATTAAAACTTGTCAAAAGACTGGTCACTCAAAAAGTGATCAAGTCACTTTAGCTGAAGAAATCTCTTATTTTTTTGTCAAAACCTTTTTGAAATATAGTCAAGTTTATCAAAAAAAAACTGGAAAGAATGCATGGCTTGGTTTCTGAGAAATCACCGTGCAAACTTTTTCTACGAACTCTCTTATCAACCTAATAGATGCTCATAAACCTTCTAACTGCTCACCGTTCTAAAAGTTGTATGTGGTGGCCTCATTCGACTGACGGGAGCGCTTCTCTGAAGTCGACAGCCTTTAGCGGCTAAACTTTAAGTGAAATTTCATTTTCAACTACTCCTCACCGTCATCTTTTCGTTTCTCTTCATTTTGTTCGATGGTCTCTTTGTGTTGAGGTTCTTGTCGGATCTCTGTTCTGTTGTGTGATTCCAGTCGATCACTTGGCACTCTTTCTATTCGACGCTCGTATTTTCGCTAAAATAAAGTACGATTTGATTTGATTTGATTCTAGATTTGAATTTAAAGATTATAGATTTTTAGATTTTTAGATTTTCAAGTTATTCTCAAAATTTCTTACATCAAGGCTTTGTCTTGGTTCACACGGTGGCTTTTCTGTGGACAATTGACGGCGAAGTTCGGAGTGTCGAAGGACTGAAAGATGAAAAGAATGATTGACGTTTGACATTATTGATAAAATGAAAAACTTTTTGAATTTGCTTAATTTGCTTAAACTTACCCTCAACATCGATTGATCGTTGCTTCTCCAATCGTGCCCGTCGATTCTCTCCACTGTAGCCAATGATCGGTGAATCGGGTACTAAACGCAATGAATCTGTAAACGATTTTATTGATGCTTATTGTTCGGATACAAAACATTACTCGTTTTCCTCACCTTTAAACCTAGTTTCATTCAAATGAGCATTTGATTGGTTTCGTGTTGAGTTTTGAAGCGATTGGACGACATCTTGGAGTGATTGAACGACACCATTATCTTGTCTGAATTTCTTTCATTTCTTTAAATAACTAATTGATTTTAAAGCTTTCTTATTCGCACTTTTTATCCGGAGCTTTCACTAGAATGCTTCTCCTTTGTTCTTCCATTATCTTTTGACGTCTTTCTTCGAGTTCCACTAGGCTAAATTTTGATATAAAAGGGGTATTTTAGGCAAAGTACTATAAAATACGATATTTTTTCTACAAATTGCATTTCTTTTCTGCACCTAATTGGCCGTCGATGATTATCTTTATCTCTTCCATTTCCCAATCCATGCGGTCGTTGTCTTTGTCGAATTGATGGAGTCTAAATCTTTTCATTTTTATGAATCAATGTCTTCACTTACTTGAATATCTCGATTAATTGCATCAAAATGGGGATTTATTTGCTCGCATTCTTTTGGACGATCACAAGACTGAGCTAGGCCTGAAAAAAAAGGAACTGCAAGTGGGTGGAGTCACAAAGGAGCTCTATTCGACTTTTATGAAAAGCTATACATCTATAAGAATATTGTACAGGGACACGTTTCAATGTTTTTAATGTTACACCTATAGCTACCAATTATCTCTTGAGCTTTCTACCATGAACTCACATTGCGCATATCCAAAGAGTTTCAAGAACTCATGCTCCAGCGCTCTCTCACTATCCAAACTTGGTGATCCGTGATTCTAAACGTAATCACGTTTAGATCTTTCTTTCTTTCTCTGTTCTTTCTGTTCAAATCTTTCTGTTCAAAATCTTTTTACCAACCTGTTTCCTGTTTTGTCTTCGCAAATTGTCTAATCGTGATCCTTGTAATTTGAATGGAAGTAAAAAGTGGAGATCCTTTTTAGCCTAAAAGGGATTTATCAGTTGATAAAGGAAGTTGACAATGCCATTGATTGATTGATTGAATTGCAATTGATTACCATTTTTTCAAGCAAATCTTCCCCATGAAAACTGGCGGCTCTTTTCGTCTTTCTTCCATAAACACTCAATTGTAGTCGAAGGCGCTCAATCTGAAGATGATTTCATCTCAAAAATGCTTCTTTTGCTAACTTGTGTATGTGTGAGAAGAAGTGAACTTTGTGCAGCCATAAGATCAAGTTCGACTCGACTCAATTCACACGATTTTGTATGTATTGAGGAACGAAGCTCGCTTAACTGAAGAGAGAAAATCGATGAGAATATCCTTTTAATCAAACCTTTCTAACCATTCCCATCGAAAATGAATAAAGTGCATCATAGGAAGGTAACAATGAGATTTTCCTCTTTAAAGTTGGCTCTTCTATGTGACAATCTGAAAATGGAGATGTTTTGAAGCACAATATAGTGCGTGCGTCACTCACAACTAATTCACAACTTTCTAAAGGACATCTATTTTAGAAAACTACCGTAATCGAAAAGGTTACAGTCAAAAATAGGACAAATAAAATCACTCAAAAACTTCACTTTGTAAACATTTTTGAGTCAAGCGGAGATTCTCTCGCTGAACCCTTTCGACTTGTTCGACCATCGATCGAAATGATGATTGTTCGGTGGATTGAAGACGGTGAGACTGAAAGCAGAAATATGTTTAGAAATTTATGGCGACAATCGATCTATCCAAAATCAAAGACAGAAACGAACAGCCTGGTGTTGCACGGCAATCTCAGCTCGACTCGTCTGCAATTTTGTCTCGAATTGCCGCAAACGTTCCTCAATCTGAATTTCTTCTTTATTACATATTATTGGGTTGGTGAATTGAAAACTGCCGGACTTTGAACTAAAATTTATTCAACATAAAACCATGAATTCATTCGAAATAATTTCCATTATTATTGACGACTTCTGTCCATTTTACTGGCAATTTGCGGATTCCTCTTTCGTGGTAGGATTTTGGTTTTGAATCGAAAAACTTTCAAAGCCAATTTTTGACTGCTTCTTCCGAATCAAAGTTCTCCCGTGTTCTCCCGCAAGCTCATTACTCATGATCCGAAATAAATAGTAATGAGAAGGGGCAAGGTCCGGGCTGTATGGGGAATGCGCCAAAAGTTCCCAAACAAGGCTATTTATTTTAGAGCGAGTCAGTGTGAGACTCAAAAATGGAGGACTGGAGATGTCCCAGTTTGAGCACTTTCTTCAAAAGAAACCCATTTTGGTGTCAATGGAAAAGTTGTAGAGAATCAAAAATTAGGCTTATAGCCAAATTTCCAAAAAGATACACTTAGTAGTTTCGCTTAAAATGCAAGTTTTGTGAGAATTCGTAAATTTGGCATTTCTTCAAAACCAGTTTTTGAATCGTTCTGAAAATTTGGATATAAGCTTGATTTTTGATTCTCTACAACTTTTCCATTGACACCAAAATGGGTTACTTTTGAAGAAAGCGCTCAAACTGTCACATACGACAATAGCCGGCAGTTTTCAATTCACCAACCCAATATGTTTCTAAAGCGTTGATTACCTTTGACAAATGAAGAGAATGATTACGTGTGAATCGTTCGGATAAACTCAATCTTTCAATGTTCTCATCGAATTGACATTTTTTACGGTAGCTCTCAATCTAAAAGATTGGATTCTGATCAAAGTGTGTTTATCACAAATAATGCGCTTTTTAAAATGTGTCAGCTTTGAAATATTACCGTAATCTTGCCTCTAGTTTGATCTAATCTATCTAATTTTTGTATCTTTCGATAAACGGATTAGCAGAGAGGATCCCAGTCTAATTCTGATTCATGTATTTGATTCAAATTCTCACCTCTCGCTCAGTTTCTCCCAATTCAGCTTGAAGGCGGCTAAACAGAGAAGATTTCTCCCGCAACTGCTCAACCAATCGTTCATTCCTTGTCTAGAATTGGTACTTATAGGTGAATCAATATTGGGTTTTGGGTTTTACCCCTTTGCATAAACAAAAATTTCCAAGATCAGATTTTCTTGTATCTTGTTGGGTTTTACCCCACGTAAAACTGAATTTTACTCTCTTTATATGCAAATTTGAGACTTGTCAGTTTCATTTCCATCTTTCCACCTTCAATTCTTGAACTTCAGCTCCAAAATTGTCCCTTTCATGTCTCAATCTTGTCTCTCGATCAACGCGAAGCATTGCATCTGAAAAATCTATTACTATTCAAAAAAAAAGCATTTCCCAACCTTGCTCAAATTTATCTTTTTCGTAAACGGCTGTGAGAAAAGATGTGGATCTAAAGCTTTCTTTTATCCAGTTGAATATCTTTCAATACTTTCTATTATTATTTTTCATTGTCGCATTTTCCTCTTCGCTTTCTTCGTTTGCAAAACGAGCCGATTGACGATTCTAGAAAAGGGTTATATGATGATTTCGTATTGGAACCGTATTAGATCAAAATAGGAACCGTATTGGAACCATATTGGAACCATATTAGATCAATCAAGGTACCGTATTGGAACCGTATCATCATTTCCCCAATTTCCGACCTTTACTCTTTGCCTTTGTCTTTCGTCTCTTCCAACTTCTGAAAAGCAAGATTTAGCAAGATTAAATTTTTTTTTTCCAAACCTTCATTATCTCGACTGCTTTTCCTTTTTCGTCGAGTCACAACACGAGGCATCAACAAGTCACTCACTAAAGTTTAAATTTGCAAAAACTCCTTATTGGTATCGAAAGTTGGATTTGTCCTTATTGATAAGTTTTTACCGGTTTTGAGCTATTTTTTGAACTACAGGGTGACACTACGAATTATGGTGACACCTCTTTTTGGAAAAGTTGCTGGCAAATGCCTGATTTATTACCAAAGTGTCAAGTGTTATATAGAAAAATAAAGCCCTTCATTTTGGTATCATTTATCTACAAAGAACTTCCCTATTTGAATTATACAACTCCTTTTTATAAGCTCTCGAATGAGCTCAAGTCGGTCTCTCTCCGACGATCTGCCATTTTTGACGCTTTTTGACACACAATATTTCATCTAGAAAGAGGTTTCTTCAATCAAACTTGTAATATTTTACTTTAAAAGTCCCATTCAACAAGAATAGAACGCTAGAGAAGCTTATACAGCAAGATCTTCTTGTCAAATGGATATTCGAAAAAGCAGAAAGCTTTGAAAGCTCTCTTTTTTGCGGATTTTCCAAATGAACCCAGAAACCAACCTCAATTTTGGCTATGAAAGTTTGACAAAAGAGTTTGCTGTTATTCCTATTGCTAATATTAAATATTATTTTCTTACGAAATAAATATCGAAAAAACTTTTTGTTAAAAATGGCAGATCGCCGGAGAGAGACCGACTTGAGCCCATTCGAGAGCTTGTAAAATGAGTTGTATAATTCAAATAGGGAAGTTCTTTGTAGATAAATGAAGGGCTTTATTTTTCTATATAACACTTGGGACTTTGGTAATAAGTCAGGCATTTGCCAGCAACTTTTCCAAAAAAAGGTGTCGTGATAATTCGCGGTCACCCTGTAGTTCAAAAAACAGCTAACAGCTAAAAACTTATCAAAACAACAGCTAAAAACTTATCAAAAACAACAGCTAAAAACTTATCAATAAGGACAAATCAAGTGATTTGCTTGAAGCTGATCTTTTACTACCTGAATTGATCACTTCTTTTCTCTTCTTTAGCCCGAAAAACTCGAAAAACGATGACCGAGAGGAAGCTAAAGAAAAAGATTTTTGTAACTCTACCTAAAACAGACTCATATTTTCGGATGGATCTCTACTCGAAGCACTCGATGGAGATGTACATTCAGAAATGGATAAATCTCTTCGTCGAAGCGTCGATCTTCGCGGTTGAGACGATGTTGATGATAAAGGCTGAAAGCCGGGTTTTTTTTAACTAAACCGATAAAATCGAATGACTTCATCAAAAGCTGTATCCTCGACATCGCTGTCTGTCATCTCGGGTTGAACCAAAGGCGGTTTACGCTAGAAAATTGTTATATTGAATCAGAATTTTTGTTGATACAAAGTGATTTTGATGGCCATTTGAGGGGATTTCATAGGAGAAATCGGTGGATATCGAAGAGGCAGTCAATGGGTCCTATTTTGATGAATATTAGGATTATTTCTTGCCGATAAACCTTTTCTCGGCGGTGTGCTGAGTCTTTCTCTTGCGCCGACTCTCACTTCGGGTTGGCGTCTCATTTTGGGGAGAGTGATTCCGCGAGAATCGAGAATAGTTGACATCCGTTGGATCATATTCTGTAAGGTTACTGTAGGTTGATCACACAAATTTTCTCTTTTGTTAGCACTAAAATTACACAGAAAATTAAAACTAAAGCTTGAAAAGCCATTCAATTCTTAGTTAGTTGTTTGCTTAAAGATCTCGTCAAAGTCTTGTTACCATTCGTGGCGGTGGCAAAGTGAGTCTTGTCTTCAATCGTCGATTCTCTTTCCGCAATGTCCCGATTTCGTCAACCAAACTGCAGAGAACACCTGAAATTTTCTGGATCCAAATGAACTGTTGTGGCTTTAAAACTGAGAATCGGTTGCGGATCTTGCGGCACTTCACTATTACTTTCATCGTTTCGTTCGATCGTTTGATTATTTCTAAGAAAATCGATATTACGGTAAAAGTTCTGTCTTTTAAAACCTATTTCTCGATTCTCCATCTTGAATTGATTGAGAAATTTGCTCGAGCTCTCGCATAAATTCCTCCTCTTCGGACTCGTATCTGAAGTTATCGGTCAAGTTTAGTGAAAAATAGACAAATCCCAGATAAATTGAGTATTTCAGTATTACTTTTTGACTTTTTCTACCGTAATCCATTTTATTCAACACAAAGAAAACAGGTTAAAGGGGGGTATTAATCGCGGCCGGGTGACGATAAAATTTTTTTACGGCAACCACCTGTTTTTTTATTTTAATATCGCTGATTTTATTATAAAAAGATTAAAAATCACCCGGCTAGAGTGATTTGATGGGTTTACAAATTTTTGGAGATGCTGCAAGGCTTGGAGGAAAACAAGATCGTCACTCATCAGACACCTCAGCACAGTCTAGATCGATTGAGTTTTAATTGCAGATAAATTTAAAAGCAAAATAAAAAGCACAAAAACAATAAAAATAAATCGTTAATCTATAATTCTTCCTCTTGCTCACTTTCATCTTCGCTCAAGTACAGCAGTTCCTCAAATCGGCTTCCTATCTTATCAATTTCCAGCGCATCTTCACCAGAAGTGACTGGATCTCCTCCACCGTAGGACGTCTTCAACGCTTTGATTGACACAATTAGATCTTTTTTCCATTTGTGGTCGCTTGTGGTTTTAGTTTTCTCAAATAGGTGCCTTTTAGCTGAGGTGTCTGACGAGTGACGATCTTGTTTTTCTCTAAGCCTTGCAGTGTCTCCAAAAATTTGTAAACCCATCAAATCACTCTAGCCGGGTGATTTTTATTCTTTTTATAATAAAATCAGCGATATTAAAATAAAAAAACAGGTGGTTACCGTAAAAAAAATTTTATCGTCACCCGGCCGCGATTAATACCCCTCCTTTAATGTAGTTTTATAGTGTTAAGGTCCTCACCGATTCATCAGTTCGACAAAATGATTCTCTTTCGTCATTGTTGTTAAAATTTAGAAACAGTAGAAATAAATTAGAATAGTTTTTGAAAAAGCATTCAATGAGAGTGATTGTGGAAAGAATGAAAGAGGGGAGAATAGACAGAGGAGAGGGTGGTGCCAATTGGTGGAAGGGAAGTCGGCGGAAGAAGTGTAATGTGCGCGAGGTTAGCGGATATTTCATTCAATTCCCCTTTGACTTGACTCAATAACAAAGATCCCATTTCATTATCTGGGGATGAACCACAGAAGATTGTTCCGTCAAAGGTAACTCCAATATGGGGAAGGCTAGTGATCGTGAGGTACTTTAGTGATAATTTTCAACAGACCCTTATTAGCTAGATGTGCGGAAGTAAAAATTCGAACCGGACCGGACAACCCGGAGCTTCAAAAACTAGATTTAGCCGCGTTTAAGCTCCTTGCTTTAAGCTAAAGTTGGCTAAAACATCCCAAAAAAGTTACCGTAATCCAACCGTCAGGTACACGAAATTACTGTACTTCGAACGACTTAGATTCTTGAAGATGCCAAATTATGGTAGCTTTTTGAAACCACACCTTTAACACTTCAATCATGAGGGAAACAGATTATCCGGGAAAAGCTTTGGATAACCTTGTTCCCGCATGACACTGATCATTAGCCTAATCGTACGCTTTATTGTAATTTACACGCCAATCCATTATCCGTAATCCTCCTCTTATCCCCCTTTTCTATTTAACGATAATTGAATGCAAGTTTGCCGTTTCGCCGACGATTATACAAAATTTTTCCACAACGCTCCAAATAACGCTCTTTCTCTAGAGGTGCATGGAAAAGAATTTTCAAAAGTCCTAGGGTTGCTATAAAACTCAGTCTTTCCCTCATAACATAGAGGCAAGACTTTTGTGTACCTTTTCTTTTCTTGGTGAAAATTAATTAGAAAGGAGAATTAGAAATACTAAAAATTGGAGAAAATAGTAAAAATTCGTTTTTAGATGTTTCAAGACGCGATTCTTGATTCGGCCAAACGCCGCTCTGGTGTAGATCAACGAGTGCTCGAGTTACTTCGATCAAGCCTCGAAAATTTCAAGGAACCTGAAGAGGTTTTTTTGAGTTTTTTCTATTTTACGATTTATCATTCTTTTAGTCACAATTGGTTGATGTGGCTGAATTAGAACCGCGGCATCACCCGGACCCAAATATTGAACGGTAAGAGTTGATATGTTTTTCTTCAAAAATAAAGTTTAGGTATTTTCACTGTGTCACTATTTACGGAAAACCTTGCTTGGAATGGGAACTCGTGCGTCCAGCTTTTCTTTGGAAATTAAAGGTGAATCTAAACTTTTGTTGTGGTTAACGAGTTTTATGATTATATAAATTCAATAATTTAGCACGTTTTACGGGAAATGATTCGGGTCGATCACACGTTTTGCGAACAAGAAAATCAGCAACTAAAAGAAAAGGAGGAAAATGAAGAAGAAGCCAATAAAACGGTAATAATATTTTTTCATTTGCATAGGTAAATAGAACTTTTTTAGGAAACTGATGGTGTCAAACGCGAGGCGCAAACAAAGAAAATTCTGCCTAAAATCAAGGCTGATTTTGATGACGAAAAGGTTTACTTGAAAATTAAAATTATTTACTCTTCGCTTTTTTAGGGAGAACTGCGAGTTTTGCATGATCTCATCGTTGACACGGCCGCCAAAATGGAAGGCTTTCCATTCACTTTTCAGAGGTAATCTTGCTGTATGTAGTAACATTTTATTTATTTTGTAGACTGTGTGAACTTCTTGAAGAACCTTCGCGACTATATCGACGGGCCGAAAAGTTTTACCGAGCTGTTGACAAATGCATTAATGTTGTGACTACGGTATGTTTTCTAGGCTTTTCTGCCTGAGTAAAAACAACTGAATGCTTTTTAGATCACGTCGGAAGGTGACCGTATAACTGGCATTGAAGAATGGTCGCTTGGTCAAGAGGACACAACGAAGATTGAACAAAGATTTTATGGAAAAGTGGTAATTTTCTTTTAAACTATTACAATTCTTTTATTTGTTGCAGGATGAGTTAGATGACGAGAATTGGGAACCAACCACAAAGGCACCGGTAAGTAGACTTTTCAAAGATTTTAATGGTAGATGACTTTAGGTCGAAGAAAAACCATTGGACATGAGTAAAAAGGAGACATTAGTTGAGCGAAAGCAGGTCGGCATCTTTATATTTGAATTTCATAAGAATAATTTTAGGCTGGCGATGATAACACGGAGAATGGAATGGACACTAGTACTAGTCAGGTATTTAATATTTTCTGCGATTAGATAACATGCGTTCAGAATGATGATGCTCCAAGTGAAAAGAAGCTCAAGACGGAGGAAAAAAGTGATCAGGTAGAATTTGGATAGCTTAAACAGAGTGTTAAAAAGAGATTTCAGATTGTGGAGACAAAGACTGAGACAGAAGAAATGGAAGAAGCATGATGACCCTATCTACCTCTTACAAATAATGTTAACTGATCAAGTGTGCCTTGGTTAAAACATATTTTTGTGTATCGATGCTTTAAATATTTTAGAATTTGACTACAAGGTTTCGATCGATTGTTCATTATGTGGATCTCATTGTTTGTTAAATTATTTTCTCTAAAGTTTGAACCGAGTTTAACAATTGAGTTTATATTGATAAAACTTTATATTCTGTGTTTGATTTGCCTACTTTGGTAACTGTACCACATAATGAAAAAAAAAGTTGAATGATGCGCAGTAATCCAAACAAATGTGCGTTTTAGGTAATGTTTATTCTAAGAAAACAAAAGCGAGCCCTCAAACATCTACCAAATGCAAGACGAACTTTCGTATGTTGAAAGTGCGATGTTGGCAATATTTTCCTTTTAGGCCAGCGTTCTTACTCAATCTAAATTGGCAACATGCAGTCAAAGTAGCTGTCTTGTTAATCAAAGACGAGGGGATTATCTTCAAAATGGGCAACGAGACTCCACATCGGGTTACTGGATATTACGTAGCGTGGGTGATCGTTTATCCTTTATTTAACAATTGTCAATTACAGATTTCCGGTGATTCCAGAAGACTCTGTGGAAAACAATTCCTTCATGAGGAATATAGCAAAAAACGAAGATTGGCCTCCTTTGGCTACAGCTACCCCCTAGAGATATGTTCGTTAAAATTTTGAAATTTTATTTTTTTTTGATGAGTTAGGTACGAAGGTACTGTAAAAATGCTTATGGAATATGGAGACCACGTGTGTGGAACATCTGGAACATTTAGAAGACAGTAAGTTGACTCGAAGGAAGCTATTCGAATTTGTATTTAGCGAAAGAAGAAGCAAAAACTTTCGAGAATGTTGTGGATCCACTTTTGACGGAAGAATATGAGGTAAATCAATCATGATTAGAGATACATGCTTATTGAATACAGGTTAACTATGGCTTTCAAACGTTGCTTCTAAAAATGCTCACCGACTGGCCGGATTCGAGTAAATTGTTGTTGAATGCGGATCTACATCATGTAAGCATTATTGATTCGCAAAGTTTCAAACATTACAAACTAGAATATTTAGATTACCGTCATGTGCGCTCGAGATAACTCAGAAAAGCTGACGAATGCTGCTTTTCAAGATGCTATCAAGGTAAATTTTAAACCTTGATTTAATCTATTACATTATATTGTAGGAACTTTATGAAAAGAAAGACGGTCTAAACGAATGGCAATTGCGTCTTCTAGAATGGTACATTCTTGAGGTGAATTTTTAATTTTGAAAAAATTTTAATGTTTTGTAGTTGAAAGCAAGTGGATATGACAAAAAAGGACGAAAAGACAAGGGAAACTGATGGGCAGTTGGAGTCGATTTATTGATGAATATCGGACTAAATATATGTTGGTTTATTTTTGTTGCTAATTACGTATTATTTTAGCACCAACGTTATGGCCAACAAATGATCAAAACACTTTTATGGGTAACGGATAAAGCTGTTTTAAAAGATGCTCCCTCACACGTTTTGCAAAATTTGGCGATTAATTCGTAAGTTTTCATCATAAATAATTTTGCATGAGTGAGAAATTTAGGCAAAAATGGGAAGCAGGTTCCTTGGGAGGTCACATGGCACCAAAGTCACTTTTGCCATTTTTAAAATACTGCAGCGATCGTCAAGTAATTTGTTTTTGTTTTTTACCGTACAAGCTTGACTTTAGTTACGAGCAGGAGCTTGGGAGAAATGGATAAGCAAAGCCTCATTCGAACACGATTTCTACAACAATTCGATTAACATTGAGGAATTGCGACATAACAAGTAAAATTCGTGTTGCATTTTGTAAAAAAAACTAACTTATAGTGATGGTCTGGCAAAAACTCTCGGGTATGCCTCAGTATCCGAACACCGATTGGCGAATAAGATGGCTTCTAGTCCTGATACAGTCCGATCCTTCATTCAAGCGTACGTGCTACTTGTCTTGTTTGACTCACAATTTAATTTTAGCCTTGAAAGAAGAATACGCCCTGTTTTCATGGATCGCATGGAGGCTTGGAGAGATTTCGCGCAACAAAAACTTTTTATGTCTGGTGATCTTTTGGTGAATAATTGAGGAAATTAGTTTTATTTAAAAACAATTTAGCCTCACGACTTATTTTATGTTTGTCCTAAAGAAGCCGAGGCACATTATGAGTAGGTTACATATTTTTTTTTAAGTACTTGTATTTTTTTTTACAGCGTTAACACTCTTAATTTGATGAATCACTTCCCATTCTGGCCAACTTTCAACAATGCCACTACATTGCTTAATCAGCTATTCAACATTGAGTTTACGGTGAATTTTTTTTTCAAACTTTAACATTGACCTTTTGAATTTAGGATATTACGAATAGTGGGTTAGAGCGAGCACATCCCGACGCCAAAATATTTTCGGTCAAAGACAATAAAGATGGTGATTTGCAAGTAAATGCGAATATAATACAAATTTTAGGTACTCATTTGGGCCGCCTTTACCTCGATCCATATGCTAGAGAAAACAAGCACAGCGGTTGGAACACTCTTCTGGCACGCAGTAAGAATTGAAACTAAAACTAAAAAAAACGTGTCGATCACTTTAGCGGCTGCACCTGAACGAGGCCTTGACAAGATTGTCTATTTGATTGGTTCTGTTGTACCACCCGTTCATGATGCTCCATCATTGTTACATTATGAACAATTGCAGGACTTTCTCTTTCAGGTTGAAATTTTTATGCGTGCTAAATCATAAGTGTTTTAGTTGGGAAAAGTTGTGCAATTGTTAGTTTCACGATCACCATATCGTGATATTTCAATTCCATGGGCCCCATTCTACGCATCTGACTGGGATGCTGCTGATATGTTCCCTGTTTTCTGTCAATTCTTCGTGACAAAACCTGGACTACTTCAAGCACTCTCATCACCAGATTACGTTTGTTGTTCGGTAATCCTATGTTAATTTGTACCTTTCAGAAAAGTAGCGCTCCTTTGTCCTATGAACAAGCCGAGTGTGCATCTTTGGCATTGAGTCGTGGAACGCTTTTCGACACCTACCGAACGCTTTTCTGGGCGGATTTCGACTTGACCTTGTTTGAAATGGAAGAGCGAAAGTAAGATTTAACTATTTTCTATAGACAATTTGTTTTTAGGCAAAAGTTTTGGTTAGATTTGTATCGGGAGATGCACAAAGAATGTGAGTTTTTGTACGCTTTATAGAGGGTTAATGTTATTAACCAACAAATTTCAGATTTCCCATAGCGAATGCACCGTAACGATTATCAGCCATGCTCTTTTATGCCGATTTTTGCTCGACAACCTTACATGTCGATGTATTATCGTAAATTATGGTCAGAGGTAGTGATTTTAGAGTTTTATTTCTAACAAAGTTGCTTTAGATGCTAGCTCTTGACATTCATGAGACTTTCCGACTTGAAGGTGACGAGCCAACAACAGGACAACGACTAAAAACGGCCGTGCTTGAAAGAGGAGCGGGTGATGTTGCCAAAGAACTGTATCGACGCTTCCAGGTTTGACTGATAATTTGTTTAGACAATGTACATACCTAATTTAATTTAGGGAAGAGATCCATCAGTTGGACCAATTTGTGATTTCTACGACCCACCACTCATTTACGGAAGATCAACAGCAAACAGCAACTTAATTTTTATTGTAGCGAGATTGTGTTAATCTTTGTAAATTGAATTTGTTGATAATTTAGTCGTATTTTTTATGTTTATGACTTGTAGGTTTGTTAATTTAAATGTAGAATTTAGAACAAATTTAGGTTAGGAGTATAATTTGATGTCAATTCTCATAAACGGGCATGTTTTGTTATAGCTTTTTTTCAATAAATGTTCCAAGAATGGGCTCCATGATGTTTATGGTACTCAAACCTTGCTATCGTATCATAATACGATTTCATAATACCATAGTCTCTCTAATAGTAGTGCACCCGAGCGTTGCCTAAATTGGTCGAAATCCCGAAAAGCGCTTATCAGAACCTATCGATGTGGGGTCGGAAAATGTAGCTGACGATGAGATCTTGTGGGGAATTAGAGGGCTGAGCTTCTGCGAAAACTTAGAAACCGTAAAGTAGTCATCAACTCGGCTCGGCGGGATGCACTACTATTAGAGAGAATACGGTACCTACATGAAGTTATTCTCAAAAGTTATAACAAACTGATACATATTTAGATGGCCACAGCATCTACAGCTGAAGATGGGAAAGAAACGGTAAGTTATTTTTGCGAAAATACGTATTTAATGTTGGTAAGCATTTAGGTTGTCAAGGAGATTCCCCCAGCTTTGGACAAACTGTAATTTTGATATTGAAATGCTTGATTCTACATTTTTAAAATTTAGACTTCTCTTGATGGTGAAAAACTTCTTATACACAAGAGCAGTTTCTCCTCGTTTACTACATTATGCGCGCGATTTGCATAAAAGAGGAAAAACTTCGTGAACGAGTTCAGTTTGAGCATAAACAAATGAGAGAGGTAATATTTTAACTTTTAAAGAAAATTAATATGATATTCAGTGGTTGGCTCAATTGAAGAGAGACAAAATTATACGAGAGCGCCTTATCACTCAAAAAAACGATAACAATCGAAATGTAAACATGATTTTCTACTTCATCAACTATCGTGCTTTAAGAAATGTACTTACTTTCAAGATTGATCACATGAGGTAAAATTTTTTGTAAATAAATTATACGTTTATTTAGACAACGATTGGAAGCCCGAGAAAAGGATACCGTACAAAGAGCTCACTACAAATGTTCGAAGTGCACTATGCAATATGAATCTCTTGAAATTGACAGATTATATGATCAAAGGACGGATTGTGGGTTTATAGTATCATTTTAAGCATTTAGTGATGATTTAGCTTTGGTATGTTGGAGATGTAATGGAAGGGTTGATCTGGATGAAAGTGCTGGGCCCACAACTGAGACACGGTTTAGACGAAGCGAGTAATTGAACTGTCTTTTTTAGATCTTTACTGGCTCGCTTTAACGAGCAAATGCTGCCGATGTTTACCGTTATTCGTGAATTGGCTGGCATCCAATTAGCACCTCATCTTTGTGAGCCAGACATCAATAAATATATTGATGATCCTGCAGGTGCATTAAATGTTTATTTTTCACAATTTCTCCTATTTAGTCCAGCAATTACAACAACAACAGCAGGAACTCGACTTTTCATCACAACCAACGCGTGCATCTTTGGGTGGAGTGGCATTCAAGGTTTGCTTTCTTACTTGAATCATTCATAAGTCTGTACCTTTAGCAAGATGCTGTCAATCTTGCAAAGATGATGACTAGCGAGCAAATCACTGTTGATCTGAATGCTGGAACCAATCAGTTTGTTTGACCACATAAACCTCTAAAAACTTTTCTATAGGGTTGAAGAAAAACAAAAAGAAATGCCCGCTTGGCTGGCTCCGATTGCAATGGGAGAAGAGATAAACAATGTGGAAATCTTTAACGATAAGTGAGGACTCGTTTATAGCATACCTAGTCATTGTTTTGTTTTAGCCAAGAAAGTACTACGCTTCATCTATCAATGTTGGCCGAGTTGGAAGGGTTTGAACTTGTGTTTGAAATTTATTTTAACTTTATTTTAGTGGAACAAATGAGCCTGAAGAAACAAACGAAGAAAGCGCTGACCAAGGAGTTCGTGCTCTTTTTATTTCTCAGATTCATAAAATAAAAAATATTTCTATACTTTTGATTCAGGAAGCACTACCAGAGCAAGCAGAAGAACAAGAATCGGAGGAGGAAGAAGAGACGCCTGAAGTCACAGTTCAAGGAGTAAAGGTGATTATAAGTTTGTCACACTAGTAATTTTAATACTCTTTAGTATGCCTTCGACCAAGTGACTCCCGATATGATTGAGCAAATGACAGAGCCGAACAGGAAACCTATAACCATGTATTTCAAACATATTATTCTTAATAGACTTGGATTTGTTGAGAAATTTCGTTTATGTATTCCCCTTTTGAATAAATGTATGTTTACGTAGTATCATTTTATTACAAATATTTTTGATATGCCAGAGTATTTTCTTGATTAATTCAGAAAAAATGAAGAGGAAGGTTCAAGGTTTTAGGAAGTGTGGAAATGCAAGGATTCGACGATCATGTGTCCAGAAAAGTTCGGACTTTTCCTAAAAAGACGACCGGAATTTCAAAGGACTTCAAAAAGGTAATTAATTCTATTTTATTGCCTTCCCTGCTTGGGCTCATAACGTACCCACGAAATATAAGGATTTGCAGAATCATTAACTTTACAAATTTTTAAGATCGTATGACATTATGAAATCAATTGCATTTAGTCTCGTCAAGGTGCTTTGCGGAAGGATATACCAAAATTCTCTGAGCCATGTGTCAATGATTTCCAAAACTATGGATATGTTGAAAAGAAAGTGAAGAGGCGACGAGAGGAACGTTTTTGCTGAAGAGTGAAAGTGAGGAAGATGAGGAGGTCGATCAAGACAAACGAGAAGATCAAGAAGAACAAGAGGATCAAGACGAAATAGTATCGGCTCAGTTCAGAGAAGGTTGTAAAATTATCTTTTTTTGTTAAAAATTTATTTGGATGTTGCAAATATGCCTCTAAGCAAAGTCAAAGAGCCCAAAAATAAACTTGGCATCAAGCTTTTCAATAAAGCTTTCTTTGGCGTTGAAGAAAAGCAGAAAACGGGAGTTAAAGAAGATCAGGAAGTTCCGACACAGAGGAAAACGACACAATTCAAGGTTTGTTCAGTATCGTTACAGCTTCAAATATTTTTAATTTTGTAGAGAGTCAACTCGAAAAGGCCAAGGGAAATCTCGTCAAAGAAACCAGTTTCGAAATTCCGTGATATTTATGCCAATGAGAAAAAGACCGAACGTATAAGGTAAACAAATTAATTTTGTGGTCACTATTAGTCTATTTTAGCATTGACCCAAGATTTGATTCTCGTTATGGTGAACTAAATCAAGCGCATTTCGGAACGAAATTATACCCATATCCATGAGCTTCAGCTTTCCGAAATAACAGTACGTTACCATTTTTGACTTTTGCATTACAATTTAGAACTTGAAAAATGAATTGAAAGAAGCAAAAACTAATGGAGACGAGGCACGAGTTCGAGAAATTAAAAACACTCTCAAACGGATGCAAGACCGAGAACGAACCAAGAAGTTGGATTCAATAAAAATGCCATCTAACCTTCTTTTAAGGGATCGTGATTTGAAACGACAAACGGTCGTCCAATTGAGGCAAGAGAACATGAAGCGAATGAAAGAAGGAAATGCACCAGTCTTCAAAACTCGCGGTAGAAATTGAAATGAGCTTATGGCTATGGTGTTTCCAACTTAATCAAAATAAACATAAAATTATGTTCAAGCTGATGTGCGCCGGCTACAAGATGAACGCAAGCGAGAAGTTTTTGCAGAAAGAGGGGCAATCTGGACAAACATCTCGAGCGCAAAGAAAAGAAGCAAAAACAAAAGGAAAACCGACTAAAAAGGAAGCTTACATCTGAAGATCACGGATTCCGCTAAGGTACTCTTGCCGTTTAATTCATATTAGAGGGCTGTCATTGTCATTAGAGTCAAAATTGTTTTTTGTTATGTTGAGTTTTCCTTATTGTTATTGTTGTCGTCAATGATTTACTGGTACTACAGCTTTTTTGTGGTGTCAATAAATTTGTTCAAAAGTTTCATTTGTACGAGAAGCGTCCGTCATTTTCGGGGGCCTGACATTTCCGACACTTGTGCGACAGAGACTGTAAGTTGACTGACTGGGAAATTTTAATTTTACATGCAAACACTTTATTTTTCAAATTCATGATGCAGATTTCTACATTAACGTTTATTCAATTGAGTGAGACAATAAACGAATAGTCAGTTTAGGTAGTCGAATCATTGTGTGTGAAGGAAGAGTCGAGACTGAGGGCAGAAATGAGCTTTGATGAAGAAGGCCAGTCAAACCGTCGATCGATGCCTTAAAGGAAGAAATTGAATACGCGAAAATGTGATTGAAACAATTACAATGAAACGTTAGCAATTTACAAAGGCTGTAAAGACTCTACCTATTCCCGTTTGTTTGAGGCCGGCTGGTTGTAATGGCTGAGTGCCGGCAGCTCCACTAACGCACTTCTGGATCTCTCTCTTGGATTCGCTGAATAAGAAGAGTTAAGACTTTAAAAAATGACTATCGTAAAAACTGGCATCAAGCCAACCTATCAAAAAATGTTCAAATGAACAAAATAATATAAAACAATAAAAGTTTACTGAATGGTTGGTAGCAAAAGTCCTTGGCGTGTGGGCGTAGACGAGAGCGGCGACGATGGTGAGAAGGATGAACACCCAGAGGAAGCCCATTGTAATGATTGGAGTGGGAGAGAAGAATGTGAGGGTTGATGATATATGATTTTCTTCCTCACAAACCACCTCTAACTTTTATTTGACCGATAAATGCAAATTTGGCTCTTTTCCGGCGGTTTCACACCGTGTATGCAAATTTAGATCTTTTGTTTTGTGAATTAATACGGTGATTTGCGTGAGTCTATTCGTCACTTTGACTATTTTTAAACAGCTATTTTTTTTTAAGCCAAGGGAAACCGATTTGTGGGCATTGTTATACCCCCATTCCCGACGTGGACATTATTATGAGTTCCGGACTGGAAATGCCCCCCCATCTCACCAAACACAATTTAGACTTGGTAGTTTTCTTCTTGAAACGAAAATCCATTTTGCGTCTTTCCGCAGTTTCCGCAGAGTTACCAGAGATATTTTTTTCACTAAAATGGCGAAACCTTAGCTTTCCGGTTAGCAAAGCACTTTCCGGTTTAGTTGAACCAGAAGGTTAAGCCAAGCCGTGAATCATGACTGTTTGTGCTTGCTGTATAGTCTGTCTCCCTCTGAAACTATTTATTCGGATCTTTCCCCTTTTGATGTAGAGATGGAAATCTCTGAAAAGAAAGAGGTTTGGGGTGGATTGTTTGGGTGTGGAGATCGAGCTCCAATTTATCACATTGCGCTATCTCCGTTTGAGAGTTGAAAGGGGACGAAGATGGTGACAGAAAAGAAGAAGGACTGTTCATTTGGGGAAGGGGAGGGGAAAGGATCCAAACAGGAGGAAAGGGGGGAGGGGAAAGCCTGGTGAAAGAAGGATAGCCTTGATTCTCTTTTGATTAGAGAAGAGGAGAGGTCCCCCACCGGCTGAGACTCGCTGAGACTTCACTCTCAAACGGTGCAATTGGCGGCAATCCCTTCCCGTCTTTCCCATTTTTCCGTCCATTTTGAACCCCTTTTTCCTATCGGAAATGTTATTCCAGCTCAGCTTCTAGTTTTACATTCTATGATCTAAAAGTAGAACTGAATTGTAAGCAAGAAGATTGGAGATAATAAAGTACTTGATTCTGTCAATGTTTCTAATATTCTTTTGAGGAGTTTTAAAAGTTAATTCCAATATAGCTTTAGAAAATAACGACACTTGATGATTTGATAAAATCAGTAGTGAGTTTCTAATCGTGCGCTGTCGAGTGGAAATAGCCATAACTATGAGACTCATTCTTTATGTTTGCTGTAATCGATAAATGCAAAACTAAATTTCTGTCATCGAATTTCCCGAGATCGATTTCTTTCCAAAGAAATCCATTCAACTCTTTTCGAATTCCTCCTGTTTTCCCAAATCGGTTTTCCATTCTTTTCTTTTCTCAATAATAATCCACCTGCCACCTTTTCTCCGCATTTTGCTCGAATTTAATTTTTGTTAATTTCGCATTTCAAAAACTTTCCAGCTTATCTAATGATTATCGCCCGATTCGTCATCAAATTCTTTTCTAAATTACAAATCTATCCTTCAGGCTTTTTGAGGTTGCAGAGAAATACGAATCCGTCGTTAATTTTCACTTACCGTAAATACATGTTAGTATGCCCCCACCCCATAATGACGGTGCGGAGTGTTGCGTAGTCTAGCTTTGAACGGAGTTATTCTCGACGCTGGTTTATGCTACAATAGCTTGAGTATCAAAAAATAGCCCTGAATTTCAGCTATTTTTGATACCAAAGACCCATTTTTTGAAAGTACAGGCGCTTTGAAACAAATGAAATACTAAAAAACTTTTGACGACCTACGCGACTGTAAGGGGGTGGGGTACTATTAAGTATTTACGGTAGTGAAATCTAACAGAGATCTAACTAGAGATCTAACTAGATCTAACTAGTAATCTAACTCGAATCTAACTGAGATCTAACTAGTATCTATTACAGCTATTTACGGTATGAACCAAGCCGAGTCAAAAACGGGTAATTAAAATGAAATGGATAAAAAAGAACGGAACCGGTTTGCTTTCACACCCCCTATATCAAAAAGCTGTGTGCCCGAAGCTGCACGATTACGTAAACATGAAAATTTCATCGTTTTACACATAAGGCGCGCGCCTTCTGGTACACTGCACAAAATCCCGGAATCCCAAAAGAGTTTTCAACTCAACGTCGCTCAAAATATTTCCCCCCAAGTTGTCACCTTAAATTGATAACATTTTCGGTCTCCTTTTTGGGGTTTCTCAACCTCAAAAAGAAAGAAATCATTTACGATAGAAAAAAGTGATTTATTTTCATCGTTATCTATCAAAAAGCAGATTGGGAGACTTTTTTTCGACTCGAAAATTCACACAAAGAATCCCTCACTTAAATGAGTCCATAATCCGATATTCTTTTGATTTAAGCCAATCCATGGACAAATATTGCTTTAACTTAACTTTTCATTGACCCGAAGTTTTGATGATTGAATATTGTTACGGAAACGATATCTGGCCGTTAAATGAAATGTTTCCTTCGATTTTAGACGCGAGCTTCTAGAATTCAATTGCATATTTTTACGTTTCATCTTCTTTTTCTCAAACAATTTCAAACATTTTAGCTTGTATACTTCTTTTTGTTTATATCAGAAGGAACTTAGGTTTCTTCTGATATGATAAAAGAACTGTCTGTTGGGTGTAGAATTGATATTTGTCAAATTCACAGATAAGTTCTCAAATTTTTGAGATATCTGCTTAGCTTGAAAATGCTTTGCTAAAGTTAGTGACTTGATTTTTAAACAAAACCAACAATAAGCCGTCGTAGACGACCAGATAGGAGGCTTGATCTCCCTAGTCGGTCAAAGGTTCGATCCTGGTTCGATCCCGGTCAAGGGTTCGATCCTGGTTCGATCCCGGTCAGGGTTTCGATCCCGGTTCGATCCCGGTCAAGGTTCGATCCCGGTTCGATCCCAGTCAAAGGTTTGATCCCGGTTCGATCCCGGCGGCCAGAAAAATTGGTTCTTTTTCCCATCATTATGGGTTTTTTCTTAACAATATTTGGGTAATAGGGGTAACAAAGGGTAAAACTTTCTCCGTTGTGTTTTAATTCATTTCGAATAAATTATCGTGTCGAATAAATTATACTTTAATCTACAATGATTTTGTTGATTGAGGGCTGAAAAGAGATGGTGATCGGTAAGGGTTGAGCAGGAACTCATTCCAGAAGAAGGAATAGGGAAAGGGATGCGGAAGGGAAGAGAAAGACCGGTCTCAGTAGATATGGAAGATGAAAAGAAAGGAAGAAAAGGGGAAGGAGAGTGTACCTTCTTCTTCTCCACTCATTCGACAGTCAATCAGATTCTTCAATTGACAATCAAAAATCCAATTTCTTTCTCTTTTGTTCATTATTACACTTTAGATTAGAATGTATCCTTTTCTTTGCCTTTCTTTGCCTAAAGTGTCTCTTTTGAAAGCTATCGTAAATGAAAACTATCGTATCCTAAAGCTAACGACTTTTGGGTCTAATTCAAATTCAAGCTCGATCACTCATCACCTATTTGAACAATTTCTGACCTCCAAAACGAGAGCTGACCAAGTCAAATCAAAGTTGACAATTTTTTTGATATCAATTTCTTTCCAAAACTCTTCAACTTTCCCTTTTCTCTGTTTCTGATCCATTTCCTTTTCCAAGCCTTCCATTTTCCCTTGATCACTTCCTCAACTCATCCCAACTCCTCCCAACTCATCTCAAATCTTTCCAGATCCTTCAAGAAAACATGCTACCAAATGGCTAAACAACGCTCTACAATTCAATCAAAAAATATAAGGGGTGGAGCAATTTAATTATTGGATTCCTCTTTCTATCTTTCTTTTCATTATTGATTGAAAGCTTTGAATGCCATCCAATTTCAATCTCTCCACCCTTGATTTCATTAGAGAGAACTGCGGACATTCCCGATATAATCCATCCATCGATTTGCCCATCGAAATGCAAGGTTTATTCAAGAAAAGAAAGAAAATGAGTAGAAATCAATGTTTTCAGGAACTTTTTCGAGCAAAACCTTTTGAATTGGGCGGATTAACGGGCAATAAATGTGCGTGTATTTGCCCAGAAGACGCTCCAATATTCCGACACAACGGATGGCGTTTGTGTCGGAGAATTTCGGTGAGTTTTCTCCAATGTATCAACTATCGAAACGAAATCTAAGCGATATTTCAATTGCCGCTGGGATTTCTAGAAAATTCCCTTCTCAAAAAATGACAGCAAAACGACCTTGATGGAATGTTTCCCCCCTTTCCCCCTTCAGTCATTTCATTTCCCACACAGGTGCTAAACGATCCGATCTCCCATGAATGAAAATGAGAAAAGAGAAAGGAAAAAGAATGGGATGACTGTTGAAGGGGATTGGATGGGGGGATTGGATAGGGGATTGGATAGAAAGGATTGGATAGAAGGTGGATAGAAGGCATTGGAATCCGTGCCAATTGTGGAATGAATCACATAGTAAAGTAAAAGAAATGAATGGTGAAGAATTTGAAAAAAAATGTAGAGCAAACCTAGGCCTGAGCCAGCTGAACCTGGTCTGGCTTGCCTTTGAGACAACTCTGAAAGATGTTATTGAGTGCAAAGCTTTAGCTGTAAGTCCTAAATTTGCGCCCTACAAATCACTCATTGAGCGATTTTGAATGTAACTTTGGGCAACTTCAACCACTAAACCGAATTTAAAGCTAGTTTTAAGCCAAAAGGGTTTTTCAAGCTCCACCCATCTTCAATTCAGAATGTTACTGATTCAAACGATGAATCTAATTTTTAGCCAAATGTCCTCATCAGATTTATTTCACTTCATTGAATGGAAAACAATCATCTGCCGAGAATGATCAAAAAATTCTCTCGACATCTCCGCCCAACTTTCCGTTTACCCGATCAACGGAGGTGTGCTGAATCCACGAAATCCATTTTTTTCAAGGTCGGTTGAAATCAAAAAAGTTAAACATTTATTTTTTAAGATTTACTTTAAAAACTAATCCAAACAAATGTTTTAGAGAGAACTTTAGATTTTGAAATCAAAATGAGGCCGGGGAATTGTACGATAAGACGAATATTTTCTGATACAATTGAAATTCTATGGAAATCGCTATCATCAAATATGTTCACGCTTATCACAATCAACAACAATACTTTCATTAAAGTGAGCTCTTTTTAGTTAAAATTTTCCAGTCCTTTGCCCTTTCCCCTAGAAATTTCTCGTCAACTTTCGGAGCCTACCGTAATCCCGACAGTCTAGGAAACTACCGTAATCTTGTCTCCTAATTTTATAAAAGTGGCAAAAAAAGCCGAGTTTTACATCATTTTCCAATAATTTTTTTCCTAAGCACTAGTTATTGCTAAAAAGATGTAATATTTATATCTCAAAAAATCACCCATTCTCTCTACTTTAATTTTGATACCAAAGCGCGCAGAAATAAACGTACTGGTATCGAGAGATGAGCGTTTCTTTGAGAGTAAACTTAGACGGTTGCTTCTATTAGAATATTTACGGTATTCAAATCTACCCCTTTTTCTCCATTCCATTCCATTCCATTCCCTTTCTTCCTTCCTTGATTTCCTAATCCTTTCCTTCTTTTCCATTCCATCCCAACGAGAGTTCCATTGTCAACAAATGGGGGTCATCATCACCAAAAATGATATCTCCGATTGAGAGAAAGTGATATCAATATTAGACACTATTCGACAATCATTTCGCATTGTTTAGTGGACGAGGCAATGATGGGGAGAATCGTCTCATCGAGGGATCGGCCATTCAAATCCAAATTGAATGCTCAATAGAATGGAAAAATGCAAGGAAATGCGTATTCCGTTTAGAATCGCCGGAAGAATGGGTAATAAAGCAAAAAAATTGAGCAGTAATCATGTTGCAGAGATCAAATCAGGGACAGCTCTTGTCACAGGCCCAACCTATCGATCAAATCTCTACAATTATCATTATTCTTTGCATACTTTTAATGCTCAGGTATTTTTTAATTACCATAATCTGACAACAAAATCTTTCAGTATTGTGGGCTCGTTAGTCGCGTGGAATGTGTGTTGGCGGATGAAAAAGAGCGATTGGTTCATGAGATTCAAATGCAATTTCTCGTTCATTTTCGACAACAACACGATATTGGTATATTGATTTATTGATTGATGATTGATATTGATATTGATTGATATTGATATTGATTGATATTGATATTGATTGATATTGATATTGATTGATATTGATATTGATTGATATTGATATTGATTGATATTGATATTGATTGATATTGATATTGATTGATATTGATATTGATTGATGATATTGATTGATATTGATATTGATTGATATTGATCGGTGATATTAATTTCTTTAATCTCTTTGATAATATTGTACAAAACTTCCGCACAAAATAGAAAACAATTGAGAAAAAAACGATTTTCTTTCGCCAACAACACGAAGGCGATCAAAGTGAGCAAAAAAAATAAGTAGGGGAAAAGAAAATGGATTGATTGTCTGGGGTAATCAAACTTATTTTTGAGAACTCTTTAGGCAGCAGCAATGGCAGCCATGCAACAACAACAGCAATCATTTGGCGGTCAATCCCTCTCATCCATCCGATTGTCCTATAACACATTCTGGTGAGGTTAAAGAAAAAGCAGCTAATCTTGTTCTCTTGGCATCCATTCCTGAACTCTTGGCATCCATTCTCGTCTTGTTCTCTTGGCATTTTGGCATCCATTCTGAAATACTTCAGATGAATTAGCTCTTTTCATGCAAACACAAAGGAATACTTCCTTTGTTTTGTTATGCCAACTTCTAGAAAAAGATTCTGTTGAAAGAAGCCCAGTCAATCCATTCAATTTCTACAAATTTACAGAATTCTCCCTCTCTCCAATCCCACAACAAATGCAATCGGTGCCCACCCAGAAGAGAAAACTTTTACTTTTCAACAGGTTTTGCAAAGAAAACTATTTCCTCAACTTTTCATTTGTAGACTTTTTTCGAGCCAACTCACATGATCAATCCACCACCGATGGCTGAGCAATTTCTCTATGATCTCCGAAAAAATGATCGATCGTGGCAAAGGTTTTTTTTTTTTTTTGAGAAAATAAAACAAAAAAAACCCATCACCTTGAAAAAGAATAACCCTTAACTATTTTTAGGAGCGAATTCGTTTGAAGCGTCACATTCCCCAACTACCGGGAATCGTTGAAGACATTGAAGAGGACAAGGTTTAAAGAGATTAAAAGAGAAATCCCTTTCAGAGAAAAGAAGATTTTTTCAGTCAACTAAACGAGAAGCTCAGTCACATTCAATATGTATGAAAATATTCAAAATCAACAAGAATCTCCGAGATCCGGAAAATCGGTGAGTGCTGAGAGAATGGTTTTCTTTAAAAGAATCCCCATTTAGGTGGATTCTGGGAATGGCTGAGAACCCCAGTCGGGTGAGATTACATTGACAACATCGTCTGACGGGAGTGATGAAGAAAGGCGGAAAATGAGGGAAATCAAGAAAAATCCGAAAAAATGATGCACTGATTGATGGAGAAGGACAAGTGAAGCGACTTGTCCCTGAGTGGTGAGTACATGATCCCAAAACTTTTTAACTCGAAATACCCACTCACTTTTTTTTGTTCAAGGTTTTTTTTCAGGATTCGAGCTGCAAAATTCTCCAATATACCGACACCGAGGGATTCTACAACAATCAAAGAATCCCCCACTATCCCCAAAAACTTCAGAGCCAATTTGACCTCCGGGCGAATGCTCCCGAATGGAAGCGATTCCAATCAGGCAAATCCCCGCCGCATCGAGTCCTTCGGGGTTGAACGCTTATCGAAAACAAAAATATAAGCCAAACTAGGTATGTTACAATACCCTCTAAAACATATTCGTTTTACTAAACAAGAGATCCCTATTCCAGGGCTACGCTGTGTTTCCTGTTGATCCAATGGCAAAAAGTCGCTCCCGAGAAGGCCAAAACACTTGAAGCGATTCAACAGAGAAATCGAGAAGTTGAAAAGTATTTGATATTTCAACAAAATTGACCGATTTTGATCTCCATGTTCTTTTCATTTTGAATAGTTTCTGTTTATTTTCACAAAATTCGCCTCAGTTTTGCCATTCGCCGTCTAGAATTTGCCACGAAAAACACGGGTTCTTTTTTATTGCCAAGTAAATGAAGATTTTATTTCAATAGTATTTTGTTCTGAAAAACATACAAAAAACGCCTTTTATTCTTTGTCCTTTCTGCGGTTTGAATATGGCGCTGCAGGGTAGAGCAATCAACAAAAAGATCCACAAAAAACCACATCCAATCGCCGTGATCCCCCAATCGTTTGGATACTCTGAGAAAGTACTTGATAAGGTTCAAAAGTATGAGAACCACCAAAATGATTGAACTATAAAACAAAAATTTCACTGACTTTCTTCACATGTTTTCCCGTAATACCAGCTATCATAGAAACACTCGTACTAAAAGTTAAAGTTATTAGATATTAAAATTGTCCCTTTTACAGGGTTGTTACAAAAATGAAAAGGGCGATACCATTTGGCTGTAAGTACCCTCATTTACAGTCTTGCACTCACCTCTCCGAGCAAAACTTGATCGATTACATTTTAGCACCACTAAAATACACAAGAAGTGAATATTGTTGAGCCTAAGCTGTATCCTTTTAAAAGCTTCCAGTTAAGAACTAGAATTTTTTAAATTATCAAACGCATAAAGAATAACAAACCAATTTTTCCTTTCCCTGATGTCAAAGTGTATTCCATTTGTACAATTTACTGCAAGAGGTCGCTCGCCAAATGGTGGCGTAAGTAAGCATCAATGCATCATTGGCTCAACACTTGGCTAACAAAGTCTTTATCTCGGCATGAAACACTAAGCTTTACGATCAGTTAAATAGCTACCCAAGTAAAGCAACTTGAAAGAAGTAAATTTTAGCAAATTATACCTGGTTAATTCACGAATCTCGCGTTGCTCTTTGGGGAAATCAGATGCTGCAGCAAAGGATGGCAATGATCATCCGGTAAAAAGCAGTTGATTTGGCAAGGACTTTCCATTGAAAACCACTAAGAAAAAACGTATACCATGGACAATAACTAGAAACTAAAAACCTCAGATGTTGGAAAAATAAGAAGGGAAAATAAGAGGAAGTAGAAATTCGTGGGAACGAACGAAGAAATGGGATAAATGTAAAATTAATTATAATACTTTTCAAGTTCAAGCTGAATAGCAAAATTTAATGTAAAATTAGGGGCTGGCAATGACATTTTTGGATAGGTTACTTTGCGCCAGAATTTTTGCGCAACTCGCCATAACTTTTTTTCTAAGTCCGTCAATCTTTATGATTTTGGTGGTCATTTTGTTACACTCATTAAGATATACAATATGAAACCAAAATTTATAAAGATTGGTCCACTTAGAAGAAAGTTATGGCGAGTACCTAAATAAATCATCTGGGAAACTAGTCCTACCCCGACATTTTTATTCTCACGCCGTTGTTCTTTTTTGTTTCTTTTCTCTTGAATTTTCCATATTTTCTATATAGGGACTTGGTGTCCAACGTTGGAAATGTGCAGGTGAGTTTTTAGTAGACTAGTAAGAAGTTTGGAACTGGCACGTCTTTTTAGTCTCGAGCTGTTTTTTACTTTGTTTAAGACATTGCAGCTAATAGATTCGGTACATTCGATTTTTCAGAAACAGGATAGGTAATGTACTTAAACGCTCTGCAAATAAAGATCTACTCAAATTCAATTTGGGCTAAAGTTACAGCCCTCCTGAACTTTTAAATGCCATGCTTACTTCACATTTTAAGAAAACTTCACCACCACCATCATCCACAAAAGATTAGAGCTGTCACTGGCGGTTCCGATGGAGAGATCAAGGCGCAATTTCTCGGGTACTCGTTTTAACAAATTGCAAGTGGTCCACGGAAATGCGTTGCTAGGAGTCCCCACTTTCCATTTTCTCTCTATCGAGCTAGACCCCGCCCTTCCCCATTTCCTCATGAATCGTCGTTCCTCTTCCTTTTTCTTTTCCCTCCCCACATGTTTTAGATTTTTTTAAGCTCCACAAATTGTAGCCGTTCAATTCAACACATTCAATTTAGATGGCCGATTCCGATATGCCACCTTCTAGTTCTTTGGAGCAACAAAGCAAGTATATTTTTATAATTTTTTCAGCGTTTTATTGAATATTTTAGTTTGATGGGGTGTTGATCCAGCTGAGTTTTTGAAGCGACACCAAAGAAGAGCATTCTAAAGGTCGGAACTTTGTTTTCAAATCAATTTAATTTGATCTAAATTTAGGCAAAACAACAGGCATCTCTGGACAATAAAGATGGAAGGGCTCATTTTGATGAAATGAATATTATCGCAACTCATCATCCAGCCGACAAGGATTATGGACACATGAAGGTTGTTTTTATACTCTACGATTCTTCTCCACTGCTATGATTTAGCGTCTGCCCCTTGGTTGGCCTCTTTTGGCCCTTTTGTCCCCTCTTTAGCCGCCATTCCCTTTTGCTGATTGCACATTCACTTCGCAACCCTTTCCCGACCGCAATTCAATTTGGCGAAAAAACATAATTTTTCGCACTTCTTTTGCTATCCATCGTTAATTTCCAAGTATATTTTAAAGGAATAGCAGATGTTTTATGTAAATGCCCGCAGGTGAAAAGCCTAGTTTTACCAGGCACTAAGAGATACTAGAGAGATTTCCCCCAACAAGAAATAATTGAATTATAAGATTTTTTTAAGATCGACAGCCAAACCACTTACCATTTTTCGGACGGCGAAGGAGAGCAAAGCGGAGATGAGGCAGCCAGGGTACGCACAGAACACAAAGAAGGGTTAGCCTGGTTGGTTTATGATGATGGTGCAGATAATAAGCACAAACTCATTTTTTTCGTATCAGACACAACTTTTGGCGAATTTATTACACAGAATTTAACGTATGAAAATTTTTTAGGGGCACGGCCGTTGATCTCTCTCCTGCCACTGTTCTTGCTGGTTTTGACGAAAGAAAGAGGGTACCTGAAGCTGATCAGAGTGACGAAGAGCCTTTAGACGAGAGAGGAAATCAGTATGGAAACTACTAGTTATTCTAAATGTATTACTTTAGAGCATAAACAAGAGTTCGAGCGAAAACGCAAGATGCTTACAACGAGGAGCGGTAAGATTTTGGCCTAAATAACTTTAACTAAGTCAAATAAAGGTATTGAAAGCTCATTTATCGACTGCTGATGATGAAGACGATTCCGGAGATGTCCCAATGCCCAGGAATAAAGAATGAAAACTTCGCTGCTCATCAGATTTTTATTAAAGATACTTTTCAATTTTTTGCCGGTTTTTCTGTCAAATTGGTTTTCCGAGGTCATTTTAGTACCCACACGACGAAAATGTAGTTGTACAAGTTGTATTTTTGTTATTGGTAGATTATTCTGAATAAATTTTCGATTTTAGGCGCTTCCGTCTGCCCGAAGACATTTTCGATCCATGGTACAAAAATGTTTATCATGCCCACAAATGACAAGTAACAACAATAAAATATCCTAATCTAACTACGAACACTGTTTTTTTTTTTTTGAACCATAGTTATTACGCTTCCAAAAATCGTGTTTCTGTCATTCTTGTTCTTCAAGTTGTTTCCCATATTTTATAGCCTTTGCCTTCCACCTAAAGGAAGATTTTTAGGAAGTGATGCAACATATAGCTCTGAATTATTTAAAATTTGACTTGAAACTAACCACATATCAGGATTCTCTTCCATTGCTCGACGAACTTTTGCATCAAAATCAGCCTTGCTTTGTAGTTCCTAAATATTTATTAGTAATTGATATTTTTGCACGTTACCTTTCATACTCATTTTTAAAATACCAATAAGATTCATCTGCCGTTTTGTCGATGCTTAAAGCTAAAAGGTGGTAGCCCGCCTCGAGGAGTGAAGCTGAAAACAATATTAATATCAAAACAATATCAAAGTTTACTGACCCTGAGCTGATGCCGAAGGTCCAATTGCTTTGGCCACTCCAATGACTCCCAGGAAGCGAAAAATTCCTCCGACTGCGACTATAAAATATGGGATTCAAACAAATTTTCTACCTCGCCATGTAAAACTCCCGAGACAGCACACCTGAAAACGCTCCTGGAAAATAAAAGGCGAAAAATGGGCACGATAGGCAGCCACGTGAAGTGTGATTCCACTAAAATCAGTTTTGTTAATACACGTTGAGGATTATACATGATTGAGCCACCAAACAGCATTGCTTTCACACCAGTTTTCGTCCCATTAATTGAAAATTTCAAAATGCCATAATCCATCCTTCGTACCTAAATCAAAATTTCACCGAAACACAGCTGACAAACCAAAGCGTCTCGTTGTGAAAGATAAGCTTTTCCGACATGCGTTTGCTCATAAACCCTTCCGGCTTCTTGATATCCTGACGCACCACCAAGAAGAAAAGCGGCAATAAACGATGTCGTACAGACCCTATCACAAGTTTAATTTTTTCGTTTGAAGGGTTTAGTACTTTTCGAATGACGTCTCTTTCCATTGACACTTCGGCTTCATAGATCGACTTTAACCTTTTCCACCCGGCTGTCCAAGTTTGCTGTGTAATCATTAAAAGATTTACAGAGTCGAAAGTTACCTCAGTGGGCCATGGAGGAGAATATACAAGCCCAGGAGGATAAGAAATCGAGAGCTTTTTATTGTTAACGGCTCTCCCTAAAATACTGCATAAATGCTGTGTCACTGTTGTACCTCATCCTTGATTCTCTGCGATTGTCTAGCCTGCCATAGTTTGTCTTTAAATTTGCTTGAAAATGTTGTGAGAAAGATTCCGTTGCAGGTTCTTTTGATGTGCCCGGCTCTTCATCTGGCATGCTCCTGACAGGGATAAGAAAGTAGGAACAATCATGCTATCAATTTTGTAAGTAAACTCGTCGTCTTTACGGTAACCAAAATGATTTTATGAAAATCTTATAACATTTATTTACAAATTAACGTAGGTAATTACTTGATCAACAACATTAGTGAGAATAGAAAATTCGAATTTGAATTTCAGCAACCAATGTTAACAACGAGAAATAGATCCAGAAAACACCCGGACTGAAAATCAATGGAAAGACGGAAAAGAAAGTGAAAATTTTTTTACTAAAATTAGATTTCTTCCATAGGAGTTAGTGCGGTCAACAAAGAGGAGCACACAGAAACACACTATTAGCCACTATTTTAATTACTTCTCACCAAAAAATTCTAAAGTAGGGGGACTTACATCTTTTTTCCCCGTAGAATTCGTATCGTTCAATCCCAGATCTTCAGTCGCAAAACTTTGTAAACCAGAAGTAAGTAGATGAATCAGTTGAACCTGATAGGACATAAACTGAAACTCTAGAGGTAAGAAAACATACATCCCTAAAAATCGAAGCAAAGCGTTGAATGGCTTGTACCGTTGGCTCCAAGGTATGTACAACCGTTTGACTTGGCGCCGCTAAAATTTTACTTCTGTCGTTTTCTACCTCAAAACCAACAAACCCTCAAATGGCCCTGAAAACTGCATTGCTTCCATACGCTTCAGAGTTTTTCAGCCAAACATTCGCAATAAGTTAGAACCTGAATTTGCGCATACAACACAAAGTATAAAAAGTTTACTTTTATTAGTTGTTCAAGGGCTACGGGTTGTAGAGCAAACTCGAAACGGAATTGTAAATCCTTCTTTTGGATTCCTGGCTTATTCACAACGGCCATCAAAAGTGCTTCCAACATCTAAAACAGAGAAAATTACTTCCATAATAAAAATATCCAAGATCAATCTTTAATCAGACTAACCCAGCGAGCAGTTGAAAGGCAGATAGATCCTGCGGGCTGAATCCAAGGCCGAGGGCACAAGCGCTTTCCATCAACAACTACAGTCCACGCATCCGCATAGGTGTGCCAAACGTATCGTTTTGTATCAACACCTGCTTCAATGATCTAAAGGTAACTGATTTTTGATGAGCTTTATCAACTCACTTGAAAGCCGTCTCGTAACTTCTCGATAATAGGAACAAGTTTGTCAAAAGGTAGATTCGTTGTAGTCTAAAAAGTTTAAAGTTTTGCTTAAAATAAAAAAATTCCCTACCTGCAAGTCAGAGAGATTGACTCCATATGCTTCAGTTGCTTGAATAGCCATTGTAACACTGCGCATTTCTTTATCATCCGCATCTGTAGTAAAAATCTCGGCTAACCACTCTTCTAAAGGACGGGCTTGGATTGCATCCTCCGGAATGGATGTGTCGAGCAGCGATGTGATTTCCTTCATCGTTGGTAGCGAGTCCGGATCGTCAGGATTTGTCTAAATATTATTGAAAACTTTAAAAAACATGCAACCATACCAAAATAACATGAACTCTTTCCAAATGCAAATCGGTCGACTCGAGGTAGCGAATTTGTTTCGTAGAGTTCTAATTTTATTATTTTGCTTCGTGAAATTAATTCTGACAAACTTGATTTGCCGCTTCAGTGAACATTTGGATAAGAGCATCGTCGATATCGAGCTCGATTTCGTTCTAAATTGTCTATGAAACATTGACTAAAAAAGCTGACCTTGTTGTAAAACGAGTCAGTCGCAATGAGAACAGTTCCCGCATAATCTTCCAAGTCGGCTAATTCACCACCGTTATCGTTTATATCGTCGAGATACCTAATTTTAGCTTGACATAAACATTTATTAGGTAACTCACGATCGAATCTGGTTGATTTGTTCAATTAGATCAACATGAAAGCGGTGCCCGAAGAAGTGTCGAAAACTAAATAAATAAGTAATGCAACGCATTCTTGAACTCACTAGTGACTGAGTGTTGCTTGATTTTTATACTGCATGGTTTGATCAGTTACAGCCACACGTGGACGAGCAATCAGACCATCTGCACGTAGTACCTTAAATCGAGTTTGGAAATCATTTAGCTAAAATTTGAAAAACCTGCAAAGTACTGTTGATGTCCGTTGGATTTAACTGCTCAAGAATGTACTCTCCACCAGGTTTTTGATCATCACAGTTGGCATTTGCAATTAGAACACTCTAAATCAATAGCTAACGAACGCAACACCAGTCATCAAAATACCAGCAAGACATTTGTGGTCGTACAATGATGAATGTGACTCAATGATGTTGGTCTCTGAGAACGCAAGGGAACCGGGGTTTGCGTTCTTGTTTGTTCCGAAGAAATAATCGCCTAAAAGAAAACAAAAAAAATTATATATATTTTAAGCCTTACCTTCCCACTTGCCAAAAATATCTCGAAGACTGAGTCATTAGCACTTGTTGAAGGCAAAGGTTGTGCTTCCCTAAGAGCTTGATGAAAGTTTTGAGGTTGAACCTACATGAACAAGAGTCGATTAGCCATATTGAATGCATTTTTGAAAAATTTAACTTTGTCTTCAGTTGAACTTAATGGAGCGCTCGCGAGTTGAAACCGTAACGCTCTCATTTCCTGAAGGTTTTGTAAATACAGCTCAATGCAATAACTCACCTTAAAGGTATTTAGATTGCATACAATACGTTGTAAGTAGGCAAGTCGGTTAGGACGGACTAATTCACGAACACCTAAAATCTTTATTATCATAATAGTTTTCTTCTTGGTACCTGCTGCCATCAAGCTTTGCACTGTTTTAGTTCCACTCTCTGGCACGTATTCATGCATTATATCTCGAACTGCCGATGGATCCAACCAAAATCGATAGACCGGATTCAAAAAGAAGCCGACAGCACGGATAAGGATCAACTAAATCAACCACCCAAGTTAAATGGAGATGAATATGTATACCATATCGCGCTCTTTAGCAGAAAAACGACATCTTAGATTAAGACGATTCTGCTGGGAAATTATGTCGACGTTATCCAATGGCCTTTTCTTATGACGAACACCCTAAAAACACTTTTTTAAAATCTGAAACAATATTTTACTTTTTGGTGCCGTAGGAATGCGAACTTTTGGTTCCAGATGAAGAGATTGCATTGCCAGTGTAGAGGGAACGAAATCTGTCGATGCCTAAAATTTCAGTTTTTTTGCTAACAAGTGTAACACATTGGCTCTGCTGCTTTCACAACCACAATAAAACTAAAGATCTTACGCGGACGCGTTTTTTCCTTGTCAATTCCATATCTGAAGGCATTAATGATCGTACAACTGAATTCCAGTCACGTTGAAGTTTGACGACACGTTGCTCAATGGTAGACTTAGCCAAATCACCATTTCTGAATGCCAACGCTTTTACAGCTACATATTGTAGTTCACCTTCTAAACCACGAAACAAACCACGAAACGACATTGTTAGGACGTGGGCTTAAGTCCCAATGACGTTTTAAGTGAAGGTAAAGGGCTGAATCAAAACCAGCACACCCATCATGCGGACCCAAAGGTTGAATTTCCAACGAGGTCTAGAATTAAAATAATAAATTGTAATAATATAATTCTCACAATTTCATTTGTAGTTCCATCCCAGGTAATTGTTGACCGATCAAACATTCCGAGCGAGTAACTCTTGTGACGATTTGGATTTATTTCTCCAGGAACGAGCTCAAGACGAAAATTCAATGGAGTACTTTGACCTAAAGTGGTGACAATAAGCCCCATTTTTAATGAAACAAACTTATTGCCCGAAGATGATGCCAGTACAATGAAACCTGATTGTGATCATCAAACTGATAAACGTACCTAAACAGTACAATAAATTTTGAAAATGATAATACTTTACCTATTATATTGTTCTAATGGCAATGAAACCTTGGCATATCCTCTTTCACTCGTGCTTGTATCATAAAGAACACCCCTTAAAATTTGGATTGTAAAGTGAAACTTTCTAACAATATTATTGGGCTATTGCAGAATAAAACCTACTCTTTCGATATGTAAAAAACAGAAGTGTGTGCTGTTGTAAATCGTTTAGGATCAGGATTTGGAGCGAGCACTCCCAAGCCCATTGCACAGAGTTGAAATACAGTATGTTCAATTTGACTAAACGAAAACATACACATGGTCACTTTAAAAAGAAACTCAACCGTAAGTTTCTTTTTGTCTTTGAAAAAGTGGCTTTCTAATAGAGATTGGCAAGTCAGCTAAAGGAGTATGGCGAGCAATTGGATCAGTCAAAAGTTGCAAAACATCTTCTTTCTAAAAACTTGAACTATAAATTTTCTATCATTTAATTAACCGGAGCACTTTTCGGTATTTGAGACAATAGGCAAAATACGGAGAACGGTAGAGCACAATAAAAATCCTAAAATTAAAAAGTTATTTTGAGCAAAAGAATATAACGCACCTGAAGCATAAACCATCCAGCTGGCAAATCTTCGTAATCGCATGATGGCATGAATCGATACGGGGTTTCAGTCTCTTGGTAAACTGGCAGTTGATCCAATGACACTTCTGGCAACGAAACAGGATCTCGACCAGGTGGATATCTAAAAAATTGAAACAATTTTTCCCCTGTTGTCTGATACCTTTCGAAGACAGAAGGTTTCCCTCTGGGATTTCCATAAACAAAATGCCAAACGGTGTCATGTAAAGCGCAGAGTCGAATGTACTTGCTTTGAAATCCATATTCAATGTGTGGATCATACAGATCTTTCTTGCGTACAAGATGTTCTAATGTTTTGGGGATAGCTCTCATTGGCACAGATGGGTCGTCCACGCCATCGGAAAGTACCTATATAAAGACTTGCAATGACCTTTTAATCTGAAACTTACACCATTACAGTTTAACAAAATGTGCGCTGCTTTTTCGTCGATTTGCTCATCTTCCTTGTTTTCTGTAGGCTCATTTTCTTTTTCCAAACTCGTTTCCTCCATAATACTATTGCTAAAAAAATTGGCATGAATTAAATGGCAAAACAAACGCAATCAAATCTAATGTATTGTCAATTCCATCAATTCTTGAGTCTTCGTTCGTAGTTGTTTCGTTCAAACCCGAGCTTCCCATCTAAAGGTCAGTTTGTTTGCAAAATATCAAAACTAAACTAAAAGAGCTCCGTAAAAAGGCGTGATATATTACCTGGTCACTACTTTTTGGTCTAGCCACAATTGATTTTGAATTCTGCAAGCGAAATAAGGCATAACGTTGCTCAAGTGAAATTCCGGACTAAAAGGATTGCGATCATAATTTTAAGTTCGTTTAAAACAACCGAAAATCCATTTTCTAATAGTTCTTGTGCTTGCTTCAATTGTGAATTGATCTCGTTCTTGCCGGGTTGTTTCGGCTTCTCAGCCTCGGTCCGTTTTTTGGTTGAGTATCTAGTAGTAAGTAGTGTTTAATGCAACTTCAAATTTCACTAACCGAAGCTGGCCATGTGGAAAAACTCGCCCTTCAGCGTGGTACAGATCGATCGTACGTTGAATTTCTGCCGCCACTTCGGGACTATCCGCGGAGGAAATATATGGCCGAGTGACAATTTGAATTTTGTTTTCTACATTTTCGCTAGTCACAAGTGTTTCGAAAATGTTCAATAAATTTTCTTTCTTGAGAGCCAGAAGACACTTCATCATGCTTTTCTTGTCAATCTAAACGGAATCATAAACAATCTTGAATTAATTTCACCTGAAATTGGTATCCCTGTGCCATTTCTTTGTTGTGAATATGCTTCAGAATTTTATGGATAGGAGTCAGAATTTCTTCGACACTTAGAAGCTAAATAATTTTAATTAGAAAGTTGATTTTTGAAAAAAAGTTAATTTACCTCTAGTATGTCATTTAACCGGCGAAGACTAACGTCCGAAATTCGAAGAGTACCTAAAAAAATAAGCTCTTGTTAGATGGAAAAACTTACTCAATCCAGTATCGGGAAATTTAATAGTTTGTCCCATCTTGAAAGGACATTCTCGTTTGGCAAGTTTTCTGAAATCATCAAAGAGCTTCTGGAATGTTTCGGGCTCGGCCGACTTTTTCCAGAAATACCTAAACTTAGGTTTTGATAAAAGTTCTTAAAAAATTACTTGATCATTCGAACTTTTCCTTCCATCTTTTGAAATTGGCCCACATGCTTTTCGTGTTCTTTTTGGACAGCAACTATATGACCGCTGACTCGACGATTTCCAGGTTTTGTAGCAGTATCAATACCGAGACATTTTCCAATTTCTGCTCGACCTCTTCCTAAAGAAACTCAATTTTTATGCAAAACAAAATTCTTAACCTTCAGAGCCGCCATTTCGAATTGCTGTCAAAACGACATCCCCGGGTAGACGATACATCCATTCGGGATTCCAATCTTTCGTCCACCCATAAAAATTGCCTTAAATAATAATATTCAAACGTATTTACGCGACTACATTACCTTGATTATAAATGCCCTCCTTGAAAGTTGATGATGGTTCCTGTGATGTAACCTCGAGCTAAATGATTTATGCACACTTTTCGAACATATAATGCATACTTTAAAGCCAGATGTCGATTCCTCGCTTTCTTCTATTAGACCCTCTTCCTAAATCAGCCATTAAATCAAAATTCTTGAAGGAAATGACAAAAACCAACATCAAAAGTCTCAATCATAGTCGCTTCGGGTTCAACTTTCGATTTACGTCCGCGCTTTCGGCCTCTACTTGTAGAGGGCGCATCGTGGTCTTCAATCATCTAAATTAGAATATTAAAACTAAGTCAATTCGAACAGAAACACAAATTTTAAAGGAGGAAAGAGTTAAAACGGAGCACGAACACTAGAATCCAAGACTGAAATTCCTTTTGATTCAAAATTCGATATAGACAATCTTATATAGTGCAGTAAGACAAAAAGAAAAAGGTAATTGCTATTCAGCTGATACGTTACAAACACATTTTAATTTTCCGCCTTTTCATTTTAGTTTCATTCGTGAAAATTTTTCACTTTTTGTGATGTAGAACTTGTAATTCGTAATTTGTCGCCCGTTTCTCGACGGCGTTCTTTGCATTACAATATGTATCTTGCATCCCCAGGAATGCATATCACCGCCGACTTTCTCTTTTTCTACAGTATCTAGGTTGTTCCAGAACCCCCTGTTCTTTAAAGTATTTATTTTTATAGCAAGATGCATTTAGAAGCTCTCTTAAAAGTTTCTCTATGTTTTTTTGAGCTAAAATTAACTTATTTTCTTATTTAGCCGATGCGTTACGTAGCCAGTTACTTGTTGGCCGTCTTGGGCGGAAACGAGCACCCTTCTGTGGCAGATATTGAGAACATACTCGGGGCGGTGGGAATCGATGCCGATGGAGAGAAAGCCAAACTTGTTGTGTCAAAACTGAAAGGAAAAACAATCTCCGTAAGTGGTCTTTGAAGTTATTGCCTATAAGCATCTTGAGATTCCACAAGTCTGACCGGGTACTTGTTATTGAATTTAGATCCAGTAGGTACATGATGCTTGTTTTTATGGCATCTCTTTGTGCAGCATAAAAATCCCAAAGCATTCATCTAAAATTCAAAAATTAGCAAAAGATATTGCTAAATCGAATACATTTTACATTAAGAAATCCGGGTTGAGACAGGAAACGTTAAATCAAAAGTTTATTTTACTTGAATCAGCTTGTGATATGTCAGAGTTTAGTACTTAAGTTATAAAAATTAGTCTGGGTTTTTCTCAAAACTTATATTTTGTTTTAGGAATTGATCGCCGAAGGCTCCAAGCATCTTGTGTCCGTTTCTGGTGGAGGAGGCGCATCTGCGGCCCCAGCCACAGGTGGTTCAGCCCCAGCCGCCGCATCAGCCCCAGCCGAAGAGAAGAAAAAGAAAGAAGAACCAAAGGAGGAATCTGATGACGGTTTGTGACAGTATGGTAGAATTTTAATATTTTTTTTATTTAGATATGGGATTCGGCCTCTTCGATTAAAATTTATCCGTTGTTTTTTGTTATTTAATAAAATCTTTCAAAACATTGTTCAATCGCAAGAAAAGCATTCTCAAATGTGCATTTACTTCTTGATACCTTGAAAGACTTGTACGGATTTGGAAATTATATCTTTGAGTACGGAGTTGAGCTATAGACGGTTGGACTCTGTGAGTGTTGGGGACACCTATTCTGTTACGACTTTTGGTCTTCATCGGTTTAAATTTGTCCATTTTTGATGAAGAAGTAGTCTATGAAACTTAAGTTTAAATGAAATAAAATAGCTAACTGGGTTACTTTGGGGATAATCATATTACCCTATCAAGCTAAATCTCGGACATCTGACGCATTCGTTTTATTATTGCAATGATTTTGACTTGCCTATTTTATTTGATTTTTCTTCTAGCGTATGCACCCCTGATAAAGAGTTCATTCACCAGGCAGACCCCGCAAACGTGCACCAAATCTTGCTTTGAAACAAAAAATAACTCAAATTTTTACTTCAAAAACTGAGAAAAGGTTTTATAGATTGATCTCTTCAATTTTATTGTTACTCAATTTGACTATTCTTTAGATGGCTTCTGGCGATAGCGATGAACAGCCGAATGTCACGGCCGCCGACCAGCAATTGATCAATAAATTTGCCAGACTTCACCAAAATTTTGCTCAAATAAGGGTAAATAAGTTGATTTTTAATAATATAATTATTGAAATTCAGGAAGAAATGGCTTCATTAATGACAGATTTGGCAAATATCAACGAAGCCGTTGATGAAATCATGGTGATTTGTTTTTGTTAATAGTTGTGCATGTGGGTGTGCCATAACAGGTTGTTGTTCTGCTTTTTTACAACATAAATTTCAGCTGCTTGGGGATGATGATGGGCAAGCGATACCTTATAAAATTGGACAAACTTTTGTTCATTTTGATTCGGTAATATTCTATTTTTAATACAAACTAAAGTTTTTAAATTCAGGATTCGATTAACGAAAGGTTAGAAAAAGACAAGGAGCAGGTTGAAACCGATGTAGACGAGATGAAGGTGGGAACCTGTTTCATATTTTAATGGGCTATGAGAAATGCTTGAACGCTTGATAATTGTTTAAAGGAATTCTGATGTGCGTGAAGCTATCACATTTTTGAGGCGAATTAACTTGTACACTCGATAATTATAACTTTATGATCCAATCGTTTCAGGATAAGAGCAAGAACTTGGAAGAGCAAATGGAAAAGCTGAAGACAAATCTCTACGAAAAATTTGGTGATCACATCAACCTGGAAACCGATAAAGAATAACCGGAGAATCAATGCCGAATCTGGTACAATTTTGTGTACTTAGCTAATTTGATTGTACATTCCGTTTGACATTTTACTCTGTCAATAAATGTTAAATCTCCTCTGAAAAAATTTCAGAATATTGCTAAAACATGGATGCTTTCATTCTTATCTCTGCTCTCTGGGTTTTTTAAACAACTCTTTTGCGGAGACGCCAGTCGATTAGAAATTGTTGAAAGAGTTCCGACTCTCACTGAATTGATTTAAAAATATTCAGCCTGGAAACGGGGACGATCTCAGCTTCTTTCTAGAATTTTTTATAAAATTGTTGGACTCGTAAATATTTATTAGTTTTCACCAATTTATTTGCGACTGACGACTTTTGAGTTAGTTTGTTTAAAGTCGTGCTTGCAAATATTTTTTGGTGAGCAAAATTAGTTTTATAGACGATCCCACGGGACTAAAGTTTACATATGGTCTAGGCAGAATAGCCATGTTAATCGATTGCATAAATTTCTACCTAGATACCTATTACTTTGATTGCTAGTTTTTGAAGAACTTCGTCATTAGATATTTGCATTTTTTGCACTCTCGGAAATTTGAAACGAACATATCGAATGTACCTTTCGTTTAGTTTGTCCACAGATGAGTACACTACAAGTCAACGTGGGAGACCGCCGTGTTTCTCGATCGGACCCCCTCTCGCCGGATTTAATCAACTATCTCAAGTAAGGTTTATCTCTTTCTTCACTTATTAGAAGTTCTTTGCAAAACTGCAGAACACAAAAGACTATCTTACTATTAGCCTTATGATTTGTGGCGACTGAAATATGAGACGGATTATAGTTTCTGTTGAGACTCTAGAAATTGCTGAGGAGAGTCTCTTGTCATCTCGCAAATAGGCAGAGAATGTTTGTGCATGAAACGGAGACCAGAATATAGGGTTAGAGTGTGGGGAAATTGGAGAGGGTAAAAGAAATGGGGAGGAGGCGCGATCTTTTTTGTTGTTACTCTGGCATTTTTGACGCTCTTTTGAGTGGTTTGACTTACTTTGAACATTCAAACAATATGTCTTCCTCAAACGACTTAATTAAAGCACAAATAGCAAGACTTGAGCAATATTTGGAGGTTTTGAGGTAACTATCAAAAATGTTTATTTTACTGGCAGTTTGGTTGTTCAGCAGCAGAATAAAAGAATTAAAATTAAAATAATCACAATAATAATAGGTTATGTTTTCTTCCGTTTTAGAGAGTCCATGCGAGAATCGGTACAACAAGATCCACCATACGTTTTTGTCATTTTTGGAGCATCGGTAGTGGATTTTTTGGAGATACTTAACTTGTTGTTTTAGGGAGATCTCGCTCGAAAGAAAATCTACCCAACTTTGTGGTGGCTTTATCGCGATGATTTACTACCGAAAAACGTTCACTTCGTCGGTTATGCTCGATCAGATCTAACGATGGAGAAAATTCGAGACAGCTTTGAAAAGAATGCAAAGGTTTGTTATCTGGATTTATACACTTTCAATGGTTGACTTATAAGTGGATTTAAAAAACTGATATAAACTAAATTCAGGTACGGGATAACGAGAAAGACAAATTTGAGGCATTTTTGAAGCAAAACACATATATCCAGGTATTTTTTCCTCAAGGGTTTTTGTTAATCAGAAAACATCTAGGGTAGCTATGATAAGGTCGAGAGCTTCAAGAAACTACAAGAATTTAATGATGATTTACAGAAGAGGACGAAACGTAAGTTTTTGTAATTGTTCTTTATTTTTGTCTATTTAGAGCCCGTTAATCGTCTCTACTACCTCGCTCTGCCTCCTTCAGTTTTCGCAGAAGTCACCCAACATCTTAAGGAAGCTTGCATGGACTATGGGTAAAATCTTATGCGTTAATCTATCATATTTTTGACTTTTTTTAGCGATTCTTGGACACGGATAATCATTGAGAAGCCTTTTGGAACTGACAGTGACTCGTCGGCCGAGCTATCCAAACATTTAAGTTCCCTTTTCAAAGAAGATCAGGTAAATAATGTTGTTGCTATCCGCGCATGTTAATTTTAGATTTATCGAATTGATCACTATCTGGGAAAGGAAATGGTCCAAAACCTGATGACACTACGGTGGATAAATTATGAAATTTTGGATAGACTAAAGGATTCTAGATTTGGAAATCGTCTGTTTGGTCCCTCTTGGAACCGTGATCATATTGCATCGGTGGTAATAACTTTCAAGGTACTGATTTTATTTTCTTTTTTTTTCAATTTTTGTTGTAACTTAGGAAGATTTCGGTACTGCAGGACGGGCGGGATATTTCGACACTTCAGGCATTATTCGGTAACGCAGGGAAAAGTTCTATTTAATTTTCTTTTTAGCGACGTTATGCAAAACCATCTAATGCAGGTTCTCACCTTGCTTGCAATGGAAAAACCCGTTTCCCTCAACGCTGAGGATATTCGAGATGAAAAAGTGCGCGTCCTCTCTTGAAATATATTTTTTTATTTTTAGGTTAAAGTTTTGAAATCGATGCCGCCTGTTGAATTGAAAGACGTCATTGTTGGACAGTATGTTGCAAATCCCGACTCAGCTCGTTTGTGTTGCGCATTTCAATTTGTTAATGTAAATCAATTCAGATCCTGAAGCCAAGGCTGGCTATTTGGATGACAAAGATGTTCCAAACGATTCAGTTACACCTACCTATTGCATGGCGGTTTTGAAGGTTTGACTAGTTTTTATTATTTGATCAATGGTGTTTAGGTAAATAACGAGCGATGGGACGGCGTTCCTTTCATCATGAAGTGCGGGAAAGGTAAAAATATTTATATTGAAAAATGAAATTCAGATTTATTAAACTGGTATTCTTGTTTCAGGTCTCGATGAAAAGAAATCTGAGGTTCGAATTCAATTCCGCGAAGTCCCTGGTGATATTTATGCTCCGGGTGAGCTGAAAAGGTATGATTGGACTCGATTTTAATTTGTAGTTTTTGAATTAGAACCGAGCTCGTGATTCGCGTTGCCCCAAATGAAGCTGTCTACCTAAAATTGATGACCAAGAAACCGGGGATGGATTTTGGAGTCGAAGAGTCTGAATTGGATCTATCCTACAATAGTCGCTATCATGTAAACTTTTAGACGCGTAAACGCTGTCATTTATTGTTTATCCAAGATTATTGACAGGCATCGACACGTTTGTTTGATTTAGGGTGTCCGTCTACCTGATGCATATGAGCGTCTATTCCTTGAAGTCTTTATGGGATCTCAAATCAATTTTGTCCGTTCCGATGAGCTTGAACATGCATGGCGTGTGTTTACACCACTTTTGCAGCAACTTGAAAAGGAGAAAGTCAAACCGGTGCAGTACAAGTTTGGCGGGTAATAGTAGTACCAGTTTTCCGTCAAATAATTTTATTTGTAGCCGTGGACCGGTCGAGGCGGATGAATTGTCACGCAAATTTGGCTATATCTTCACCGGAACGTATAAATGGAAAAGCCCAAACAAGCTTTAAATTTTGCAGTTGGTTTCTGTTTTTTTTTGCTTTAATCCTAATCAATGTTTGTGATAGCGAAGTGTATCCTTGAGCTTGATAGTATTCTACAGTTTGTTAAATTTTTCTTTTTTAATGCATTTGATATTGATGTACCGGTTCGGTTCTTTAAATACTTAATTTTTCTAGTCTAGCTTTGGTGAAAATAAATGTACTTTTACCGAATTTTCAGAACGGAATCAATGCATTTTGCTATTAGTTTTGTGTCTTCTTTTTTCTAGGGGCTCTTATCTGTCTTTCGCGGTTGGTGAAGTGTTTGTGGGGATTTGAGAGAGGCAAAATGGTCAATAAGTGGTGTCCCCATCGACGGTCGGCCAACACTATTTCACTATTTCTTCACTACGCCTTTTTTTCTCTCCATTTTTCTTTCGAAAAGTTGTTTTGCCTGCAATAATGGCCGTTCCACACATCGAGTTACCGACCCGTTTTCAAGTAATGGTGAGTAATCTGGAAAAATATCTACAACAACAAATTCGAGTTAAAAATTGTGCTTTGGTGGTTAAGCAGTTCTTGCGGCAGTTGCAATTGGTGAGAAATAAAAGAAAGAAAATATGAAAAGCTCAAATTTCACTCGACATTGAAATTTAACGCCCACAACTGTTCGAAAAAAAGACTTTTAGGATTGGCTAAATTTTTGGAAGAGTGAACGAATAGCTTGAAATTTGGGGAAATTGAAATGAGTGAAATCCCAAAACTAGAGTGGTTTTTGATTATTTTTGATAACAATAATTGAAAATTAAACAGTTTTCTCGTAAAAGCTCGGCTTCTGTTGCACTGAATTCCTCACTTTTCAAAAACCAAACCATCAAAAAATGTGTATTTTCGAATTAAATCGCATGAAAATAGCTTTATTTACACATCAGATTTGAGTTTCACATTGAAATTCCCCACATTTTCCAGTTCGGTGGCGTGATCCCAGGAGTCGATCACACAAATCTCGATCCATCCGGACGATCCGATTTGCTCAGAACAATCGATAAAGCAAAGGTACTCAATAAATGGTGAATCGTTTCAAAATCTTTTCTTTTTTTTTCATGAGGATGGTTTGGTTTATTTACCGCAACGACTTGGCGAGTTTCGAGAAACGGCAAAATTGCAAATGGATGAGAAAACTCTTTCTGTTCTTGGACTTCTTGATGGGGTTAGCCGATAATAAATGAAAAAATTTTTCTTCAGTATAGAGTAATGGCTTTTAAATTTAAGCAACTCGAACTCCGTGTTTCTCTTCATCAAATCGCTTCGATTGGCTATGTTCGAGAGGAGATTTCCGGGCATTTCATTCACATTTTGTGTGTGAAAGTTGGAGAAGTCGAATTATTTTTTTGTACTTTAGCTAAAAATTCATTTATAGGTTCACAAAAATCCCTCAATTTTTGATTTAGCAATCATGTATTGTAGGACAAAGGTTGAGCAAAATTAATGGAGAAAGAAAAAAATACTGAAGAAATCTTAGGAAATAGCCGAAGCTGTTTGTGAATGTGCGTCGAATCGTTTCCAACGAATCTATCGAGAGGCTCTCATTACTGTACCGAGCACTGTGATCACGAGAAATAGTTTGGCTTTTTGAAAAGATAGCTTTTACTTAACTATTTAGGACTTTTGACCGAAAGTCGAACAGCTTCTTCTCCACTTGTTGACGATTTAAGGTTCAAGTTTTGATAAAACTTGCAAAAACTTTTGAAAAACTATCGTAATCTTGTCTCTAGTTTTATCCAATCTCTACTTTTGTTGTCGTTCAATATATCGAAAGAGACAAAAGTAGATAGATTGAGCTTATGGTAGCTAGATAGGGAGATTAGATTACGATAGTTTTCTCAAGACACATTTTAAGAACCCTTAGAGGGTAAAGAATACAAGTACAAGAAAACAAGTACATTTTAGAGGGTAAAGAAAACAAGTACAGATAAAAGAGTAATACTGTAATTCAATTATACATATAGTTACGATCCAAAATCAATTCCAGAAGTGCAGCCACTCCACCCCGAGCTCCATCTGCTTCCACAGCTTCAACTGTGAACACATCACTGGCAAATGATTACATTCAAGAGGTAAAACAAAAACTTGCAATTTAATGGGAAATGTGCTTACTTTCGGGTGAAAGAGATATCTTTTTCTTTCCCTTTCTCTACTCTAATTCGATCTCTCTTTAATTCCCCCGATTAAAGTTTTCAATATTCAAATCGATCCCTCAAAAACAAGAAAATATTACGTAAACATTTTCATTTTGTCTTTTTTTGGTTTCATAAAAGAAGAGACGGATCTCGATCATGATGATGACCGCCATTTGCTTTTGAAAGGATGAGAAAAGCTTGGGGAAAGGGAAAGGCAGAGAAATGGAAGGAGATTGAAGAGTGGAAAGAATGAAAAGGGCTCTGACCTCTCAAAACCGCTCTGATCCCCGATTTTCTTTCTTTCTTTCTTTTTAATCTCATTCGAACTTCTTTTACATTTCAATCTCTTTTCCTTTTCTCTACTCGAAATCTTGTTATATTTTCTTTTCTTCAATCTCTCATCAATCTATTCCAGCCAGCTTCTTTTTATTTCTTTCAATCACTTATCCTTTCAATCTCATCCATTCTTTCAATTCCTCATTCGATCCTTGTCCATCTTCAATCCTTTCTTTCATCCACTCTCCTCCATACCACTTCTCAATCTTACCTATCCTTTCTTTTCACTCATTCTTTCAAATCTCATCAATTCATTCAATCTCTTGTTCTGTCCACTTTCTCCCCATTTCTCCTATTCATTATCAATCTCTCCATCGATCTCGATCTCTCATTTCCCTTCTCCTCCATTCCCATCTCTTCCTTCATTCCTCCTCCATTCCTCCTCCATTCCCGTCTCCTCGCCTCCCCATTTCTCTCTCCTTCTCTCCATCTCTCTACCCCATTTTTTTTTCCGCATTCAATCTAGCTTTTTATTTAAGCGCTAATTTCTTTTCTCCCTTTTCAACTTGCATAAAATATCGCCGAAAAATCAGCACTTCTCATCCATTTAATTCTCTTTCTTTTCTTGCAAATTGTCTCTGCAAAACACGAAAATTTTTTGCAATCGCCGTTTTTTTTTTCGGTGAAATGCTGCTCGTTATCACTGCTTCTGATCGAAGTCGCTTCGATGAGATTTCGGAAAATTTTCGCGAATTACAAATTTCTCAATTTTTCTCATTTATTCTTTTAATTCTAAAAGTAGATTTCAATACAGTCGGTACTTTTCACTCAAAAAGTAGTTCTGAGTGAATGGAGAGTTATTCATTGTGACAGTCTCGGAGCAAAAACCTGAAAAGGGAACATTTTCTGGCGAACAAGTCTCACTTCTCTTTCCGCAATTTTTTTTTCTCATTTTCATCAATCTATATTTCTCCTGTTTTTCATGGTTTTCCTAGTAGAAAAGGTGAAATGAAAAATGAATCCATCCATGGAAAATGCCTGTAAAAAGAAAGAAAGAAAAAAGAGGCGATCGCTGTCAAAAAGGTTGTTGATCGTTCGCGCCCTCTTTTTCACCCTTCACCCCGATCCTTTTCGATCAATCCCAAATAAGAGTTACCTTTAGTTTCTCTACGTTAAGTTTGATTTTATTTTTTATTTTATTTTTTATTTTATCCTTTTTTCTTATTTCTTGTCAAACAATACTCATTTATAGTCAAAATTTAATTGCTCGATCAAAATTTGCTAATTGCTTATTCAAATTCGATTACCGAATACATTTAGTGAGCAATTAAAACTTTGGCAATAGTTTTTCAGCACATTTGAATGCAGTTTCAACTTTGTTAGACTTTTAAACTCCATTCCATTACTTGCATTTCATTACTTGCATTTCATTACTTGCATTCCATTACTTGCATTCCATTACTTGCATTTCATTACTTGCATTCCATTACTTAATCTCCATTCCATTACTTACCCCTATTTTAATCTCTTTTTGAACACTAAACAACACGTTTTTCGAGTTAAGAAGCTTTCCTTTTATTTTCTTAAACATCTTTGCTGGTCATGAAACAATTAGAATTTTAAAAGTTTTAGACAAACTCTTGTAAAGTCTTCAATCTCATAGTCTGACTGTGACTTCAATCGGATACAATCCAACGCATTGTGTAGCCAAATCCTTGTAAACAAAAGTTGTGAACAAATCCCCCAAATCAACCTCGAGATTTTTGTTTCCCTTTCTCAATCTTTTCCACTCCGCACTTTTTTCTTCCACTAGACTGGGTTATGCTTTTGGAAAGGAGTACTTTATGAGCCAACAACGGGCAGAGAGGAGAAAAATAGAAAAAAAAGAGAAAGGGTTGTAAAATTCGCGATCCATCAACACACACACACAAAAATGAACAAACTTTATGAGTTGAAAAATAAAAAATTTTTTGACTCTTTACAAATAGATTTGTTTGCTCAAAACACAAATTGAATATCGATTCGGTCTGGTTTCCCATTTCATTTACTTTTTGGTGTACAGTTATGAATTTTCATGTATTTTCATGTATTTTCATGAATTTTCATGTATTTTCATGTATTTAATTCTTCTGCCTCGATTCATACGATAATTTTTCATGAAATTCACGTTTGATCAATGCTTTTATTCTATTTTTCACTCCTTTCAAAGTGATTGTTTTTTCTCCTTTCAAAGTGGCACGATTGTTTTTTTTTTTCTCACGTATTTGTATTTGAGATTATCAAGACGAAAACTGAGAAGGGTTCGATGAAAAATTGTGGAAAACAAAAATAGTTTATTGACTAATTTTAAGGGAAAGTGGAAAGTAAAGGAACAGGTTTGGAATTGTGTTTGCAAGGGGTTTAAGGGGTGAATGTTTACTGTAAAAAAGTGATTTCCTCTTGACAAAAGCGTTTTCTAAACTGTTTTCTAAACGTTTTCTAAACTGTGTCAACTTTTGCAAACTATCATAATCTTCCGGTGAAAATTTATCGTAAACTTACTTTTGCATAATTTAGATACATTTTTTCTGCTTTTGTGAAGGCTCATGAAAGAAATCGAAAGGGATAAAACTAGATCGATTTGATATAAAACAAAAACCAAGATTATGTTAGCTTCAAAAGTTGACACGTTTTAGAAAGTGCATGAGTCTATTATTTGTAAAAGGGAAGGGGTGAAGAAAGGAAGGAAATGGTTACCGTAAATACTGTAATAGTACCCCACCGCCCTCGTACAGTCGGGTAGTCGCAAAAGTTTTTTAGTATTTCATTTTTTTCAAAGCGCCTGTACTTTCAAGAAATGCCTCTTTGCTATCAAAAAATAGCTGAAATTCAGGGCTATTTTTTGATACCTAAGCGCGCATTGTAGCATAAACCAGTGTCGAGAAAAGCGCGTTCAAAGCTAGACTACGCAACACTCCGCACCGTCATTAATGGGGCTGGGGTACTATTACAGTATTTACGGTAGGTTCTATGGAATAGGAATGGGGTTTAAAATGTGCTTTCATTAGATCCTTTTCTCTCAACAATCACAGCTTCTTTTCCATTTCCCATTTTGATCCCTAAATGTCTTTCATTTCTTCGTTTTATACGTTTAATACTAAAAAGTTTATTTCCAAAATTGATTGAGAATTTCTATTTTTCAAAAGATCCCTTTTTTGAGTAATTTGAAGAATTCTGAGTAGGATTCGAATGGGATGGGTAAAAAAAGGCGAGAAGCCAATCTTGGGAATCTTTCCTCTTTTTATTCTGCCGACGATTGAAGGGGGAAAAGGAGAAGGGTAGAATGGCTTCTTCAATGAGAAAACTAACGGGTATTCAAGAAAAGAAATGAAAGAAATAAGAAAAAAGGAGAATCTCAGGGGAAAACTAAAGTGGTGAGGAAAGGGCTTTTGGAGGAGGAGAGGCGGGTCTTTTATGGGGAATGAGAGGAATGGGGATGTCCCTTTTTGAGATCTCTCCTAGTCACTCCACACTCACTCATTTCCCTTCTAAAGTTGGCCACACGATTGAATTTGAGATCAATGGGGGGAAATGAATGGAAAATAAAGTAAAGTCACATTATGATCCATTCAAATAAAGGGTTTTCTAAACGTGTCAACCTAATTGTAAGCAAGGTATTTGGAGGTTACGGTAGATTCGAAAGTTGACACGTTTTAGAAAAGTTAGAAATGCTAGAAATGCTAGAAATTTTATCAACTAAGAATTCTCTAAAGCAAAGTGATCTCAAAGTCAATCATATCACTTAAATTTCAGCTTGCTAGTTGTTTGTCTACAAATGAACTTCGCGAATTTGCAGAATTAATTGGAAGGTTTGTTGTCTTTTCTTCTTAAGTTGTCTAAAAATATAAAATATTGAGTTCTAGATGAGATCATAGTCAAGAAAATATTTCTTTAGAACAAAAAAAAGATCTGAAAAAGTTCTCGAAAAAAATCTGAAACTTTACAATCTATGATTTAGATGGCAAGTCGGAGATCTTCCCGTTCGAGAACTCACTCTAAAATTGATCGAACTCTATGGCCCGGAAAGGAGACAAGCTCTCACTAGTTGGTCTTTAGTTTTGTCTCACATATAATTGATGTTCCATCCTTGTCAATACATAGCTTCCTTAGAATCCCAGTGGAGCTATCAAATACCCATTATAAGTCCCCTTGAATCAGCTTTCTTCAGTCATTCGAAACTGGTACAATTCTTGCAAATCCTTTCTATTATCCTTTCCAATTCAGTAAAAGCATTCAACGGGGAAATGAATGACCAAAAAAAAACAAAAGGGAGATTCCTCTTCTCATCTCTTTCCATCCAGTCAACAGCTCATTTGCATTTTGAATTTTCTCAATTGGTCTTTATCTTGAGGCTTAAAGAAAGCATGTCCCATTTTGATCATTTTCTCAATTAGCTAAATCTATATTTTTCCAAATAACCCCATTTTTCCAAAATCCATTTATTAGTTTTCCATTTCGTTAAAAAACCCATTGCCTAAGTGTTCTCGTTAATGAATCGATGCCCAAATTTGGCTATTTTTTTTTGAGGAGAAGAAGGATCGTGAGAAAAAGTAGTATCAGAAGAAAGAGAAAAGAGGGGAAAGTAGGGAGAGAACGGGGAATCCATGAAAGGAGAGAGGGAAAAGCATGTTCTCTGCCCTTCCCGTCTTCTATTCATCTAGGTGGCTTCTCCCTCGAAAAATAAGGAAAATAGAGTAGAAAGGCAAGGAAAGAAAAAGGAGAAGCCGAAAAGTGTAACCCCCCTAGTAGCCCTCAGCATCCCCATCACCCCTTCCGCGCCTCACCCCGCCGTGTGTGCCCTCATAGGGCCAAAGACGGCCCCCAAATTGAGTTGGCGCACCACAAGGTCCCCCTTCGCGTGGCCAAGAATTGAGACTTTCACAGCCATCCCATTTCTCTCTTCAATTTTCCACTCTACGGAACACTTTTTTATTTTTCTTTCAGTAAATTAATTACCTAACATCTCCAATTTTCTCAAATCATTTAGAACTTGGTGCTCTGATGGCCGAGCAAGAACAAGAAGAGTTTTATTCGTTTTTGGCAATCAACGGCGTTCAAGTGGATCTGGATTTCAGATGAGTTCAAAGAGGTAAGTTCAAAGAGATAAAAATAGAAATGTGGAGTTCACAAATTAGGGACGGAACTCTCGATTTAATAGAAAATTTCAAGCTTAAATGGACTAGAAAAGGGATAAAAGAAAACGGAAATTAGAAAAAGGAAATTGAATGCCGATTTTTGGATAAGCTGGTCTAGGAGGGATAAAAGTTGCGGTTGGTTAGTGAGATGAAAAAAAGGGGAGAGGTGAAGTCGATTTATTGAAGGGGAAGCACCGGGAGGGACTCTTTTAGTTGCCGTGGAGATCCACGGAAGGGAGGGGAAGGGGATGGGGTAGGGGAGGGGCAGGGAAGGCACCTCAACTCTCACGGTGGCCCTCCTCCGCTCATTTTATCCAGCAATTTGTCTTTCTAATCATTTAGGCGCATTTGTGCTTCTAGTGGAAACTATACTTGTGGCAAAGAACTATGGTATAGTGTTTAAATGAGAGTTGTAAGTTCAGAGAGATCAAAATAAAAACTAAAAGATTAGTTCAAAGCTGTTTCTAAACTGTAGATAAGTTTAGCTTTGTCTCAGCTTGGCTCGTTTGTTTTTTTCGGGGTTACAGGTTAGGTACATTTTAGATTTAAGGATAATGAAAGAAAAGCGAAAGCTAGAGTGTTACTGCATTTGCGCAGCAGTACAATAGTTCTTATAACACCAAAATCACCACCCCAATAAGCTCTTCTCAATTTCCTCTTTCCGTCTTCTACAATATCTCCCCCGGTGATATCCCTGATCATCACAAAACCGATTCCATCCACTTTTCTCTCTTTCTCCGCCCTAATTTGTGAATCTCTTTTCTTTTTAGCCTTTTCTCGATTCGATCATCGATGATCACAACAGACAACAATCTCCACACTCAATTTCACTCAATTCACTTCAATACAATCCACAATATGTGCATCTTCACCCTCTTTTGAAACTTGATAAATAAAATAATAAAATTATTTACCTTCAACGATATTCCGTGTGTAAAATGGCTAAGTTGCCACAGTACTTGACTTTGTGTCGTATTTTAAATGCACCCTTCCGGCTACAGCAAAAATTTAATTTCTATATTTCTATTTCTATCATCCATTCGTTTTTTCTCATTCATTAATCCATTCGTTCGATTTCATGTCTTTCTACGACTCTTAACTTGTTCTATTTTCTTCTTATTTTGTAATTTGGTTTTACAATGTTTTAACTTACAGGTATGTCCAGTAGCGCTCGTCCGGCATCGGGCGGCGGCGGAGGTGGTGGAGGAATCAGAGGGTTCTTCTCAAAACTACGAAAACCCTCCGATCTTTCGGTGAATGGACAGGTTACTTTTATCTTTTAAAATATTTCTGAGAACTTCCCTGGAACTTTAAATTAAAGATCACAAAAAGTGCTACACACGTGAAACGTTCGCAAATCATACTCTTGAATTTTGGCCTCCTTTCCCGTTCAGTTTTTTCTTCTATTCAATCTAAATAAGCCGTATCGATGTGCGGAAAGAACACTGCAAAGTTGTGTTGTGCATGGGGAGTTTCCCCCTCTCTCTCGCGGGCGCATTCTTGCAAAGCTCGGGCGCTTTCCTCTGCGTCTTTGTTCGGCCGCTCTTTCTCGGTGATAGAGTCTCGCGTGCCCGTGTAAAGAAAATGGGAAACGAAAAGGGCTCCCGCCCGCCACTGCTCTCCCCGAGTTGAAGCGCTACGATCACTCTCCGCATTTTCCCCAACCCACTTTGTTTTTTTCACGAAAAGATCACTGACTTGAAAACTATTCCGTTCACCGTTTGACAATGTTTGGACGGGGCCATGGCCGTGAAGCCGTAAGTGTGGTATTGAATTGTTAAATTGAAATATAGTTCTTGAAATGAAAATGATAAATAATAAATAAAAAAATGTTTAGCTTAGATCGTAAAATATGTTCAATTATTTGTCAAAACTTTCTTTTAGCAATTGCTTTCGTTTGGCAATTGGAAAACTTTTTGATCGCGGCCTATCATTTTTTAGTTTATCATTTTCGTGACAGAAACTGAACTGTTTTTATTTGAAATTGCAAGAGATATCGTGATATCTTTTGATCTTAAGATATGACATTGATAAAACTACTGGATTTGCAAAAGGTCGAAAGAAAAAATGAGAGCGACGAACAGATCAATAGTTTCTTTTTTGTGGTTTCTTGACTTTTAGTCTTTGTCGTATTGTCGCTCGTTACCAAGCATAAATGAGTCATTTATGAGCGAGCGCACATATGAGCCAAAAGACAAACAAAACATATTTAATATCAACATTAAAGTACTTATAAGGTAATTTTAAAGTTATGCTTTTAGGTTCAGATCGGGGATCGGACATTCGATGCGCAAGAACTGCAGAAACTCGTGCCTCAACTTGAAGTATTGAAATTATACATTTGACCTTAAACATATTTTTATTTTTTAGGAAGCCATTGAAAAACGTGATCGACAGCTCAAGCAACAGCAGCATGTTGTCGATTCGCATTTGAAGAGAATAGCCGAACTCGAAGGAGAGGTCACCACTTTGCAGGTAATTCTAAAAATTTTGTCTTTGATGCATTACCAAATTCCTATCCATTTCCCTCCATTCTTTTAGCTTTTAAATTCAATTTGAGCTGATGGCCAGTTCAAAGTCAATAACGTCTTCACAAACCCTTTTCCTGGTATTGCGGGATAGGTAATCCCATTTTGGTTTCCCCTTTCCTCTTGATTTTGGTTGGCCAGCTTTTCTTTTGGCCACAGCTCTCCTTTATTGCTTTGCTAAGCAGGTGGTAATTGTAAAAAAGCTTTGGCTTTAAGGATCACACTCGTAGGATTTTCATTTTACGAGAAGGTTGCATATCACACTTTCAAACACAGTAGAAAAAGGTGATAACCTAATAAGTTAAAAGGTTTCTTTATGGTAACGAGGCTATATATTTTACTAAAAAGTATTCAATTTTTAGAGAGAATGCGACAAATTGCGATCGGTATTGGAACAGAAAGCAACTTCCGCCGCTAGCCCTGCGCCAACTGTTGCTCAATCACCAAAGGACAGTGATTTACCCGGCACTGTAAGTAACTCTTAAATTTGATTAAATTTATTGATATTCTCTAGGAAAGCGCAACACCTCGAGAAGATGTGCGTGAACGCGCCAAGAAGATGGCCGTGTCCGCCGAGCCGACAAAACTTGATCAGCACAAGGCCACTCTTCAACATCACAGCAAAACAGCAGGGTTTGTACAAAATAGTGAAAAGTTTAATACTTTATTATTTAGCTCCAAACAATTGATCCGTGATGCCGTGCACAAGAACGATTTCCTCAAGCAGCTGGCAAAGGAACAAATCATTGAACTTGTCGAGTGTATGTATGAAATGCGATGCAGAAGCCAGGTACACTTTTCTTTTTTCTTTTGAGCTTCATCGATATTCAGCAATGGGTGATTCAAGAAGGAGAACCGGGAGATCGACTTTTTGTTGTAGCAGGTTGATAATCACTTGTTTTTCTTTTGAATTAAAATGCTTTTAGAGGGTCAATTGCAAGTTTCGCGTGAGGGTCAAATTTTGGGAACAATGAATCCAGGAACGGTGATGGGAGAGCTTGCTATTCTTTACAATTGCACAAGGTAATCTAATCCTTGTTTTTGCTTAAATCGCAAATTTAGAACTGCTTCCGTCCAAGCAATCACTGATGTCGTGCTCTGGGTTTTGGATCGATCCGTTTTCCAAATGATCACTATGCGATTGGGAATGGAAAGACACACGCAACTGATGAATTTCTTGTTGAAGGTTTAAAGTTTAGAGTGCGTATGTATTACACTTGATACTTTAGGTCACAATCTTTGAAAACCTCTCGGAAGATCGCATTTCAAAAATCGCCGATGTTTTGGACCAAGATTATTATGCAGGAGGCCATCATATTATCAGACAGGTTGGTTGGAGAACGAGATCACGTAATTAATAGCAGTGGCAAATAAAGTTAAATATTTTAGGGCGAAAAGGGAGATGCCTTTTTCATCATCAACAGTGGTCAAGTCAAAGTCACACAACACATCGAAGGTGAAGCAGAGCCGCGCCAAATCCGAACCTTGAATCAGGTACCATTTTTATTTATTAAACTCATGTAGTTGGATTCAGGGAGATTTCTTCGGCGAACGTGCGTTGTTGGGTGAAGAAGTTCGAACTGCTAACGTTATTGCAATGTCACCAGGAGTTGAAGTACTAACATTGGATAGGTAAAGAATGTTGTCGCTCAACCTTTAATAATAAATTTCAGGGAGTCATTCCTGAAACTCATCGGCGATATTGATGCGGTGAAAAAAGATTATGGTGACAGTGCAAGGTACAGTAATAATTTCATGGGGTTTTTATAGTTGATATGGGTGTTTATTTTCTGTCACTTACTAATCAATAAATTCACCAATTACAGGCAAGAACGACTTGCTAGAGTCGCTCCTCATGAACCCCCAAGTCCAACCAAGACGTCTACCGAAAGAGTAAAGAAAGTTTAATGAATACTTAAATAGTACCATTTTAGGCTCAAATTGTGGAAGAATTCTCGAACGTGAATTTGAAATCTTTGAAAAGAATTGCGACTCTTGGTGTTGGGGTTAGTTTTTTCATGTTTTGTAAGTAAATTTTCTTTTTTAGGGCTTTGGCCGAGTGGAATTAGTGTGTATCAACGGGGATAAAGCAAGAACGTTTGCTCTAAAGGCTCTCAAGAAGAAACACATTGTGGATACGCGCCAACAGGAACATATTTTTGCCGAGAGAAACATCATGCTTGAAACCAATACAGATTGGATTGTCAAGTGAGTACATGGATATTTTTTCAAGTATTTACTTGGATTTTAGATTGTTCAAGACGTTCCGCGATACAAAGTATGTCTACATGCTATTGGAAGTATGCCTTGGTGGCGAATTATGGACTACACTACGTGACCGTGGTCACTTTGATGATTATACTGCCAGGTTTAGTAATGCACAAATAAAATGCAAATCTTTAATTCAGATTTTTCGTGGCTTGTGTGCTTGAAGGCCTCGAATACTTGCATCGCAAAAACATCGTCTACAGAGATCTGAAGCCGGAGAATTGCCTCTTGACAAACACTGGTTACTTAAAATTGGTAAGTCTTGTATATTTAGACATTTACTGATATTAATAAATTCAGGTCGACTTCGGTTTTGCTAAAAAGCTTGCCTCTGGAAGAAAAACATGGACATTCTGTGGCACTCCTGAATATGTGTCACCCGAAATCATCCTCAATAAAGGACATGACCAAGCAGCTGACTATTGGGCATTAGGTAATTCACCTTTGAGTGTTTTTTTGCAGTTTGTTTTAGGCATTTACATCTGTGAGTTGATGCTTGGTCGTCCACCATTCCAAGCTCCGGATCCAATGAAAACCTACACTTTAATCTTGAAAGGAGTTGACGCACTTGAGATTCCAAACAGGTAAAAGACCCCAGAAAGTAACATTTTAAAATGGTTCAGGCGAATCGGAAAAACCGCAACAGCACTTGTCAAAAAGCTTTGCCGTGACAACCCAGCTGAAAGACTTGGCAGTGGCAGTGGAGGAGTGAACGATATCAGAAAGCACCGCTGGTTTATGGGCTTTGATTGGGAAGGACTGCGTTCAAAAACACTCAAGCCGCCCATTATTCCAAAGGTAATCGTTTTGCTTATCTCGCCTAATATCAATTTGTTTTAGGTCAGCAACCCAGCCGACATGTCGAACTTCGACAACTACCCGTACGTTTTGTAATCTTAACATGAAAAATCCATATTTGTAACGTTTTTATTATTAAACTTTAGGCCAGATCAAGATGTGCCGCCAGATGAGTTCAGTGGATGGGACGAAGGCTTCTAGGAGAATTCTAGATGAGATTATAGCAGATTTATCAGAATGGATTTGTATTCTTTTTCTCGGGTATAATTGAAACTATTATTCATCTTGTTATGATTCTTTTCATTGCTTTTTTGCAACGTTTGTGCACACTCCTCGCCTTTGTTTTGCCAAAAGTAGCTTTGTAGTCAAGTCAATATTTTTGCGTTTGATATCTCCATTTGCCAACTTTTCTGTGTAGATTCCCCTTAAATTTGATCTGCCAAGTTTTTAATAGTCTAAGTTTTTATGTTTTGTTTACCGTTACCGATAGCTACCCCATTTTCAACAATAGCCATAAGCAACTCTTGACCCGGTTTGCTTTTCCGGTATTCCTCACCATGCGTTCCGCAGATTGTTATTAAAATAAGCTTGTATTCATTTTAAAGAATTTCCGCTACTGACATATACAAATCTGTGACATTAAACTACGATTTTGTAAGGTTTTCCTGAATAAAGTAATGATGCCAATTGTGAAATGAGTAAAAACAAAACACCGTTGATAGATTGAAAATAGGTACTTAAATCTCGCTTACAAGAGAATGGTCCGAGGTGAATGTGACCGTTTGGGATGAGTGATACCTCATTCGATAGATCTCATGATGAATATTGATGACCAAAAAAAATTAGCTGCCCAAAGTAACTCTACAACGAGAAATGGGGCCGAGAAGGAGCAAACATTACGTTGGAACTTTTTATTGAATCAATATTTTTGAATAATCTTTTTTGCATGTAATAGAACTTGAATGAGACTAAAAAATAAACTTGCATTAATTATGGAAACTTAAGATGTTCCTATAAAAAAGTTCAGTAAACTTTGGCTAAAATCAAGAGCTTTGAAATGTAAAATTTTATAAATACTTTCGAAATCAAATTTTACGATTTTTTAGTTTCATTCAACTTCTATTACATGCAAAAAAAAATTATTTAAAACTATTGCTTCAGTAAAAAGTTCCAGCCCCGTCAAGGAGGGTCAAAAACGTAATGTTTGCTCCTTCTGCTTGCTCGTTGTAGAGTTACTTTGGGAAGCTAATTTTTTTGTCACCAATATCCATCATGAGATCTATCGAATGAGGTATCACTCATCCCAAACTGTCACATTCACCTCGGACCATTCCCTAGTTAGTGCGAAGAGAAAATGCCACACTTTTCATTATTTGTCGAGAAAAATGATCTGTACAGTCTAAACAGTGGTTTTTCTACCGTATATTTCACTTTTTGTCTGTTTTGTACGTCGCACTCCACTTAACGGCTCCAAAATACGTCCAGAGGCAGCAAAATTCTTTTTGTGGAATTTAGTCCTAAGGCCAATAATTATTTGCTTTACCGTCGTTGCTTTCTTGATCAAATGTTGTGTTTTGCTGATTTTTTAGTTTCTTTAATTTTAGAACCATGGGTAGCACAGAGCAAGCAAACGAAATCAAGGAGAAGAAGCTCAAGAATGTGATGCGCGAGCTGAAGATTCAAAAGCTTTGCCTCAACATCTGCGTCGGCGAGTCGGGTGATCGTTTGACACGAGCAGCTAAGGTTTGTTGATTACTTGGGGTTATATTACAAGTGTTAGGCATAGAAGATACGATACTTTGGTGGTTAGGGGGGAGGGGGCCACTTTCGCTTGCTTAGTCGAATCTAATGTTTTGAGCGGTTCGTGTCGATACTCTTCTATTCTGAAGATAGAGATATATGCTGAAGTGATTGGTGATAATTTAAGCACGTTTTTGGTAATCGTATTCGATGGTTTGTTCTGTGTTCTGACCTGCCGTACTTTAACCACCGAGCGTTATCTCAAAGCTGGCGACATTTGGGAAGCTGCAATACTAACTTGAAACATGTTGGAAATATTCTAAAATTAGCATCAATCGCTTCAGTATATTTCTTTTTTCAGAATGAAAAAGTAGCGACACGAACCGCTCAAAGCACTAGATTCGACTAAGCAAACCAAAAGTGGCCCCTCCCAACCACCAAAGTACCGAAGATAGTTTAGAAGTGTTGTGGCTTAGATGATGGTTTAGAATTGTGGGAAATTGCAGCTATTTTTGAGAAACATTTCTAATCTTTGTTGTTGTGGTTGAAAAGGTGCTTTGAAGTTAAAGTAAATTGGATTATTGAGAAGCACTGAAGATGTTTCGTTGCAAACATTTTTGTGTTTGTTTATCTTTGAACTTTAGGTGCTTGAGCAATTGACCGGACAAACTCCCGTTTTCTCGAAGGCCCGTTACACTGTGCGCTCGTTCAGCATCCGTAGAAATGAGAAGATCGCCGTACACTGCACTGTTCGTGGACCCAAAGCCGAGGAAATTCTTGAACGTGGACTTAAGGTTTGTTGGTGTTGATTCAGAATACAATGTAAGATACAGCAAACTTTTGTTTTAGGTGAAGGAATACGAATTGTACCGCGAAAACTTCTCTGAATCCGGCAACTTTGGCTTTGGCATCCAAGAGCACATCGACTTGGGAATCAAATACGACCCAGGAATTGGAATTTACGGAATGGACTTCTACGTTGTTCTTGATCGTGCTGGACGTCGTGTGGCTAAGAGAAGACGTGCCCCTGGACGTGTTGGACCATCACATCGTGTTGGCCGAGACGAATCCGTCAAATGGTTCCAATCAAAGGTATGGCTTTTTAATCGTTTGTTTCTAATATGCAATGTTTAGTATGACGGTATTATCTTGCCTCCAAAGCCCAAGGAGAAGAAACGTGGATTCCATGGACGAAGAAAGTAAAAGTCTTGTTTGGTTTAAATAAATTGTTGATTTTGTGGTAATATAAATAATTACGATTTATTTCACTCTTCAAAATGCAGCATAAAAGACAACTACAAAACAATAGCAACAACAATAAATTCAGGTACTCTAAAGTCAACATTTTCTCAAAAAAGAGTTTTAGTGCAATGGGAAGTGTACATGATTGTATACCCATGTTGAATTGTAGTGGTAATTTTTATTCAACTTGTTCGTGACAGATGTCGGCAAATCTAAAATGGGCTTTTATGGGATGTCATCAGTTTCGGACATACTCGGGCGCCCTGAGAGCTTGCTTTATCATCTTTTTCAATAGAGCATATCTTGGCACGATCGGGTAGAGGCGAGTGTGTTCGTATCGGTTCGCCAACTCTTTGACAATCCTAAATGTTTTATTCATTTTTCAGAGTGTAAAGATGTTTCTGGATTACCTTCTCAAGCCTTGGTATTTTTTGATGAGTCGATAGAGTTGAGAATACATGCTTTCGTACTCTTTTTGCAGCTCATCGGTTTTCATCTCTGAAGCAAATTTGGATAGGCTTATAGTTAGCGCTTTGGGATTGGTTATAAAACTCCAGCTTACTCCGTATTCGTTCAGTGATTTCTTGATCCGTTCGTCCTTCGGGTCGACCCATCACGGATGAACCCAGAAGAGCTCCAATCCCACCTTTCGGGGCTGTCTGATTTCCACTTTGCTGCTCCAGACTAGTCACCACTCTGTAAATTTGACTCTATTTAAACCTATTCTTTTCCCAAACTTCACGACATATTCTGAGGGGTCTTCGCCTTCTTGTGCGGGGATTTCGAGTAGTTTCCAATATTGTTTTTCGATCACCACAACCTGAAAATCGATAGTTTACATAGAGGGTTTGAAAGAGGTAAGTTGCGAATGTGAACCTATTGCTTACATCTCTAACAGCATGACAACATCTCAAATAGCGTTGAATAGGATTAGCATCTTTTGAGTGCAGATACTCATCTTGTAAAACTTTTAGAGCGTTCTTCAATCTGAATTTCGATCTCGCAAAAAGTTCACGTTTTCAGCTTACCTTCGATATGGTTCGAGTATTTTATTGCGAGCTCGATGCTGTTTGAGAAGAGATTGAATGAGATTCTCTCTTTGTGACCCTATGAAGTTAAATTGTTTGAGAACTCTTTTGGGAGAACTTACAGGCAGAGTTGGCGAGAGCTGTCGATGGGCCACTCTCTGTCGAGTTGTCTCTGGCGATTGAAAGCAAAATATTGAACATTAGATCCTGAAAGTGAAGCTTTAGAAAAGGGTAACTATGAGCTAAATAAGTACAGCATGATTAGATAAGATTGGTAGATTGGCAGGGGTTTTTGAAATGGAAATCCCAGTAGATATTTCAGAATGCAGTCACTCTGAATTTTTTCTTTTTTTCTGTTCTATGTGCCATTCATCGAAACGATCGGACTACCATGTGATTTATTGAGAGAATGTAAGAGCGAGAGAAATGAAGCCATTCTGATGCATATTTTGAGGGGATGGCTTCCCGTGCCCAATCCCTATTCTCTGCTGAATGGCTATGAAATGAATGTTCTCTATTATTTGTGAAAATCGGCTGAATCGACACCTGGATCCATGAAAAAAAGCCTATTCCCTGAAAATTACTTCGATATTGGCAAATAGATGCTAGAAAAGAGGATGAGGTTTTCGATGATTTTATTTTTTAAATGAGATAGGCTCTTTGATGAGATTTGATCAAAAGAGTATATGCTCAAGTTTTCGAAAACGTATCCAACTTTCGAAAGCTACCTTAAGCTGGCTTCTAACTTTTATCTAACCTATGTGTTCTTGGCTTGATTCTACAAGACTTCGTTCACAAAGGATTCCATTGAATGAAGCAGAGAGAAATTGGATATAAACCAGAGACAAGATTACGATAGCTTTTGAAGAGTTGATACATTTTGAGATTAGGATTTGAGTAGAATCAGCTCACTTCACAATCAGTTCAAGCTTTTAAAAAAACCTGAAACAACTCTCCCCCGATTTCCCATCACTTTACAAACCTTTACTTGTCTCAACAAATCATAGACATTCTGTAGCATATTACAAGCAATATCGCGTGCTGTATTAGGTACATCACATCGACGAGACGAGAGCAATAAAGAATGGGAAAACGAGCGGAAAGATCGAGCCGAATCAACGAAATGAGGGGAATTCCTCTCTTCTTCGAACAAATCGTCGTCCAACGTATTTCGAGGCTTTCTTCTGATGATAAAAGAGAGAAATTCTCTCCACCTTTTCTCCCTTTTTTCTCCTTTGATGGGAATCACAGTGAAACGTTGCCTGTCTTTCTTCTTTTCCGTCTTCTCATTGATCGTTGTTGTTTGAGCATGCATTTACGATGGGAAAGCGACGTGAAGCTGATCGTATAGAAAAAAGAAAAGAAATGAAGAGACAAGCAACTCTTATTGGCCCTTCATTTCTCTCATTCTCTTCATTCGACCTCACTCATTTTGTCCTCTTTTCCCGTTTACCCTCATCGAATTTCATTCCATCCAATGGACCTCCATTATCGGCAGCCATCAAGTGTTTTTTCGGCAATCGTTTGTTGAGAAATTAATTAGACATTAGTCTTATATTTTTTCAACATTAAAAAACCAATTCTTTGTAATAGCTATCGTCCAACGTACTTTACTAGACAAATAACAATCGTTTGGACAAAAAGTCTAGTAAAAAGACCCAAACATAGCCGATTAATCAATCGGCTTCTCAAATGAATAAAAGGTAATGAAACGAGTTGGTTATAATGTTCTCCTCTGATGCATATTCCGAATTTTTGTCTAAAGTCAGCCTTAAGCTCTAGTTGATTTTAAAGATATGATTTCTGAAAAGATTTTCTGCTATTGTAGAGATTTTCTCTTCAAATATGTCCCTGACGAAATTGACACCAATTTGTTCGCTAGAAAAGATCGAAAAACCCAAGTCCCATTAAGCAAAAGCAAAAAATCATCGAAACGAGGGGGTGGAGGAGAAGATGTCAAGAACAGGAAACATAGAAAAGAAAAAGAGTTCATCAAGGGAATGGGCTAAGAAAAAGAAAGAAAAAGAGGTGATGATCTCTATTCCTCATTTCAACACAAAGAATGGATTTCTCTTTTGCATTTCATTCTTTACTTTTTTTTTTTTTCCAGAAAATCTTTTCTATAAGGCTTTTCTTTAGTTCAAAGTTCCTATCGATAGTGAAACACAACACCGTGAATCGAAGAAATAATGTGGTGAAGAAAAGAGGGAAGGAATTTCTCTTTAAGGTTTTGAGGTGAAAAATCGAAATATTTAGCCGAAAGTCGAAAGGCAAAGAAAGAAATTGAATCTAGTCTAAAGCTAGATAGAAGGGAGACTAAATGAAAAAAAAAATTTAGGGGGTTTTCTTGAGGATGTTTAGTAGGAAATGTTGAAATGGGAGGAAAGAGATGAATTACAAAGAGCCAAAGAGATTGGCAACGAATCGTAAACATCGTTGATTCGGGTTTTTTTTTGATCTTAAAATTGATAAATTGAGTTTAAACTAGACTCTATTTAGGTTATGTTTAGATACAAGTACAGTGATCAAGAAGTATGCAAAGTTAGAGTACGGTGTAAAGCGATCTTTAATATGAAATGTGTCATAGATTAAGCATCAAATTCGCATTTAAAAGTTTAGCAAGATTGTCGATTAGGATTTAAGATTGAGATCGTCCAGCAGATTGAGACGAATTTGGCTTTGATCTGGAAAGGGACATAATCTAATCTGAATAATCTATCTAAAACAGTAACGAAATTTTCAAGATATTTAAACAATTAGTTAATGTTTAAAAGTGTCATGGATTTACATAGAAATTTCAAATAATCTAACTCAAATCAAATAGGAAATTGGAATCAAAAGTAAACGGGAAACTGGTGATGAAACAGTGTTGAGATCCCCTTTCCGGTGAGGGCAATTTGGTGGAGAGATGATTTGGGATTTGATGATCGTGCAAAGAGAAATGAATAAATGAAAAAGAAAGAAAGATGGAGTTGTTTCTTTTGGAGGAAGACCCACAAAGAGAGGAGATCCCCCAGATGGACCCCTCCACCCCTTCACTTCCCCAGCACAATCTAATTAAAGTTTTCCTTTTTCTTGTCTCCATTCTTTGTTATGAGCGTTATCCTGTCTTTTTTTCTACAGAGAAGATCTTTGAAAGTTGAAAGTTTTAAGAAAAAGACAGTCTGGGATCAGGAATGGACAAAGAGCCGATTTTCCTTTTTAAACCAATGACAACACTTTACTGTAGACGACAAAGTACTGTAGACAGTTTAAAGACAGATGATGTTCAAGTTATCGTTTTGGGGATAATATAAGGTACAAGACTTGTGCTTAAATATGTAAAATTTGCAGCAAAGCTTGCAGTAAACTTTGCAGTAAACTTTGCAGTAAAGCTTGCAGTAAACTTTACAGTAAAGTTTGCAGTAAACTTTGCAATAAACTTTGCTAGTTGGTTCAGAAATAAGAGTCGATGATTTTTTTTCCAAGAATTCTATCCAATTTTCCGAGATTAGCTACTAGATTTGACGAGGATTACAGCTGAAAGTTAGCTACGTATTTGAAAGGAATTTTCTCTGCTAAATGTTAGGAAAATAGATCTGGGATTTCTAGAACCAAAAAAAAACGTATTCACGTTGATGTTTTCAATTTTTGGTGTGAGGTTCGGAAAGGGGTTAGGCGGTGATTTGCTACTCCCTTGGGATAAAAAAAAAAATTTTCCCCACTTTTTACATCAAATTGATTTCATTTCCCTTTCCCGAAAATAAGGAAATCCATCAAAAAATCCTCCAATATTGTTGACTCATGCCAAAGCTTAAAAATAATTTGAGAAAAATCGAAACAAAATCTTCCGGTCAAATGATTTCTTTCTATTGAGGGATTTAGGGGAAATTTCGAAAACTAGATAAAAGAGAAAACAAATCTGGAGGGGAGAAAAAAAGGCGAAAAAGAGATTTGGTCTTGTTTGAAACCCGAATCGAATCAGATAATCACATTTTCGGCTCTATACTTTTGTGAACCTGGAAGAATATAGGGGAAAACAAGGAAAAGACATATTTTGGCAATTGAGAAAAGAAAAGAAAAGGAAAGAAAAAAGAAAAAACGAATACAACTTTTTTTTGGGGATGTTTGATTGGTGGAGAGATGGGATAGATGGAAAGGAATTATTCATCGATCATCCATGCAAAAGAGAAAATAAAAACGAGAACGGCAAGGGAAAAGCCTTTGTTGTTCTTGAGAAATTAGACATATTTGAAGCCACGAACAGGAAGCCTTCGATTTCGTTGCTTTACTTTCAATTTTGGTATTGTATTACTTCATTTTGCTCATTTCTCTTACGGTATTTTGGTTGTATGCTTCATTTTGCTCATTTCTCTATTCTTTGCCATTGAAGTTGAGGCTTTGAAAGTCCATAAATTTAGAGAAAATATTATTGTTAACTTTTCATGTTTTAATGGTGATACTTAAGGCTTTCAAATGATACCAAATAAAAGGTTAATTGGATTAATCAATCCTGAGAAAAACGGGACAAAAGTCGGATTTCATTGTTCTCCAACTTTCAATACTGTTTTAGGCTGAATGGTTTAACGAAGTGCAGAAATTATAGCAAAACTACAGCCTAAATTGATCCCAAAGGATTTGCTGACGTCCAAAACGGATCAGTTGGCTCAATCCGAAGCATCCTATGCCGAGAGGCTTGATCAGATGACGAGCGATTGTGCGCGTGCACAAAGAACACCTACTTTAACAAAAAGGGATTTCTCTTTTGCTTTGCTGATGTTACAAAAAATAATTCAGCTGTAAACTTGTACCCGGGAGTTTTCGAGGTCGACGAATCGATTAGAGCTATTCATTTTATCGAGACTACCAATTGGAGGTTGGATTTAATTGGTCTGAACTTTAATTGGTTTAGATGAAACTTATTTGCCTATCCAGCGTTTCTAAAAGATGCTCTCAAAGAAAAGCTACTGTACTGAAAAGCTAAGAAAAGGTACTACTAGAAAAGCTACTGTACTCCGGAGTCCGGATTCTGAATTGAGAACTTCTTCATATTATTCTTTAAAAATGGCTAAGAGTTTCAGAAATTCTCTATCAAATATTGCCTTTATTTAATGAATAAAAGAACCCACCATTTCGTCTTATTTATTTAGAAATCAAATAAGCGTTAATTTTAGAAGAATTTCTTGAATGTGAAAGAGATTCTCCATCTGTTTGAGTGAGAGAAAATGGCGAGAGACAACTCAACAAAATGCATTCAAAATAAGAGAGATAATGGAGAAAAAAGACAAAGAAAATAAATGGACTTCTTCTTTTTCTTCTTTTCCTTATTTTTTCTACTTTCCAATGAACGAGCTAATTAAGTGGATAAAATGAGAAAAAGAAAGGAATTGAAATAGGCGGAAGATCTTGAAAGAGAGATCTTGAGAGATCTTTTCTTGAGAGATCATCTTCTTGAAGAATCATTGGCAATTCAAGAATCCAACAATTCTTCACACATTTGATTGGTTCAACATCTTAAAGATTATTGGTCTACAAAAGATTTAGAGGAAATCGAATTTGGACCAAAAATTCTATTCGATCTTTTAGAAAAACTTTTGAAGAACTGGAGCTGTTTTTAGCGGTCAGTTAGTGCCAAATAGAAATCATAGATAGGCTGAATATTCGGTGATTTGTCATTTCTACTGTAGTCTGTTTTCTTTTTGTATTAACTTAGCAAAGATGAACATGCTTTAAAAGCCAACCATCATTAGACCCAAGCAACGAAAAGATTTCTCAGCATTTCACTCTGCTGACAAAAACACTAACTCAAAAACGTAACAGGGAAATAACTCAAGCGGATATTCGACTTCAAAATGTGTTTTCTAGAGTCCTTTCTTTTCCTTAACGTCGAAAATTCTCACGGGGATTTACGAAAAAAAAAAAGCCACGTAAAGAAAGCCTTCATTTTCACAAATTTTTCACAAATTTTCCAAGTATTCTTTTACCAATGTTGATGCGGGATCGACTTGTTTAACGAGAACCCGGACAGCGCTCAGAAAGCCCGCTTTTTGCGCTCCGTCATTCGGATTGTTTTGAGCTGAATAGGCACGAGATGAGGTGATCAACGGAGAGTCTTTCATTCGATCAGTCATGCTTCGAGAGAGTTTCTTCTGGATGAATGCCCGAGTGAAAATTGAATGACAAATAAAGAATTGGAGAAATATTATAGTAGAGAAATTGTAGTCCTTTCAAAACAATCAATATCTCAGTGATATCCATCTTCGCACAGCCCACTTCTAATTGTTTCCTCTCTCTCTCTTTTTGCGCGTTTGATTCGACAATGATTCCACTAGGGAT